TTATACCATGCAATGCATTTCGTTTACAGCTGCATATGTGGTTTTTAACAGACAATGAAACTGTAAGGTTATCTATTATCTAAATATTCATAAATATAAAACTCATACCGATTTTGAGCTTCTAATTCGTCCCCCAGTACGTATAAAAATTCTTTCTTTGCTCTCATTTGCTTGCGATACGTGCGACCTGCCTTCTGGCTTTTGTAACATTTGAATAGTTGGTATGGTAAGGCATAAATATGTATCACAATACTATACATACGCAAACACAAATTTAAATTTTCTCCCCAAAAACAATCAAGTTTCTAACTGGGGTAGGGAAATCTCCCTGGTTGGGCTAGAAAGCACCTCGCTATAACATGAATGCAGATCTTGACACTGAAAACCCTCAACATATCTACATAGAACTAAAATAGTCATGAATTTAGTAGTATTGGACGTTCTGTAAGTTCTATCGTGAACTGTCATCTGCTTGATTTTATGATAGAAAGTAAAACACTTTCCAATTTCAAAACACTGCTTCTCCCAGACGCGCATTTCGCAAATGCTATTTGCTCGAGTGTATTTTCATTTTGTGAATAATATACTACATGATCTCGCATTCCATATTCCGAGTACAGCAGAATCAATATTTTTTTGATGCTGCCAATTTATATGTTCACACGACATAAACTGAGAATGAATTCTAAAACCCTTGATCACGACCGGATGTGCAACGAACAAAAAACTTTATAAAAAATGCAATTCGACCGCGCCAACAGATCAGACACGTTTGATCGCAATACATATTTTTACAGAACACGTATTTTTTAGTTTAGCTGTTAAGCCTATTAGAAAACTTTTGAATCGATATTTTTCAGACTCACGTTTTTAGACCCGTCTCAGTTTTGTCCCAAAATCGGTCGTTGTAAAATAGACAATTGGTTATGAACAAATTCGTTGTTAAAAAGTCAATTTTGACAACCGACAACCAATAATTAAAGTATACTTTTTCTTACCATCTCCGATTATAAAACACAGAACCCTGAATTACAATACATTCAATTTCATTCAATCTGATAAAAGCTTTAGCTAAACAAGTACTTTGACATGACATTAGGTTATGTCATACTTGTAATGAAATGTTTATATGATATTTAATGTAATAAAATGTATATATAGCAAATATTGTAATTTGTAACCTTCAAAATTATGCTTCAGGCGTCATAATATTTAACTAACATCTATCGGACTGCTCGTTTCCTGTTAAATGCCTACAAACCAAACGGCAGACACAAAATTGTTAATTTGCATTCGCGATGTTCAGTTGCAAATGAACAAGATGTTTCAGCATTCTTTGCATATATTCAAGCTGATAGCTATAATGATCAATATTGCAGTTGACGTTGCCTAAAAATAAAACCTCTGAAATACCAATGTATTCATGAAAACATTGAGCTACATACTGATATTTCTCTGGTTTCTGTTGGCTAACGTTGTCATTTTGCATTTTCTTCTTCTTGTTGAGAAAAAATCGCTTTTCTGTTTTTAACTACATGATCAAATGCTTCAGAATTTTCAGTGGTTAAAGATTGTTATTGTCGCTAAAAGGCTATTACTTTTACTTATTAAAAAGTGTGCTGTGCTCTATGCAATTCGTTTTTCACTTTAAATTTCTGTGTGATGACATCTTCAAAATTAAAAAACTCGCAACGTGCGTAGTTCCGTGACAGCATTTCAGCGATCTCGTCAGACTACCGGTACTATAAAGTTTCACATTCATTCTGTTCTATTACAGCGAAATGTCTGAACAACGAAAATACGACAAAGACTTATCTAAATTGAGGCCTTCTGTATCAAAAAACTTTGATATTTTTTCCATTACATCTGCACTTTTTGCCGTAGTTTTTAATGGAGTGCTAAACAAAAATTCAGTTTCGATATCATGTTCATGATTATATCGCACAAAAATTAAGTAGTTGTGCTTGTGACGCCACTGCATTCAAAATCATAATCCCCTTCGTCTCCACTTACTTATATGGCCATGTGTTCAAATCAAAAACAATCACAAAAGCAAGCAACAAAGTTGTTGTGCAAGATCACATGAGATAAATCAGTACGCTATTTGCGTACGAGAAGAGTGTTAGCTAATTTAAAAGTTGTCCGAATAGCTCTATACTATGTTCTTCTATTGTGTTTTCGGTGCAAAAATTGTGGGGGTCTGAGTTTACTTCATAGAAGCATGAGCGGTCCGCAGGCACATAAAATTTGAGAACAATTGAGCTATAGTATGGACCATCCAATTCAAGTCAATGGTTATTACCGAATCTATATACTCGTTCCATGTGCGATTGGAATAATCAAAACCTAAATTTCGTGGTAAGATTCTAAGCTGAGGCTAAGTAAAGAAGTTGATAACATTATTCAATTACTCTAAGTCTAACTGAAATTGAGCTTCTTCCATTTTCGTATCAACCAGTTTTTGCTAGCTTGTAATTCACTACCATAATTATTCTTAGTTTGAGTAAGTTTTCCATGATATGAGTCTCTTTGAGTTGAGTTCTGAGTAAGCACGCGTAGCCTAGATATGTGAAAGTTCCCTTTACAAACTCTTAAATCTAATATTTGTACAAACCAATGATAAACCTTGTAAAGTTCGCAAAAACTGAACTATGACTGATCGAGGTAAACATTTGTAGGAAAGACCGTCAAATGTGCCAAAAACTAAAATTACAATAACAAGTATCCGTTTCTTAGCTAACTCAGTAGACCCTAAGAAACACCTGCTACTTACTGTTGTTTCAACGGCGCTGGACGTCGGCCCTTGAAATTTAAAAGTTTACTTTGAAGGAGTTTTGTATTGATTTAACAATATTACTGATGTTTATCCTTAACTCTGTAATAAATTACCGAACATTAAATCCTTTAATCAAGTATGGGGCATGTCCAATCGTAATTGAGTTGAACAAATTCAAGGCCATTTGATAATTCAGAATAGAATCACGTCTTTGTGCATAATTATTTGTGATGTGTCTACAGACCCTACTATAATTCCATAGTTTTAATTCAAATGCGTACTTCATGTGAAAAATTCTGACATATAAACAGCAAGTAATATTAATATTGAACCTAGTGAAACGCAACTCAACTACAACGAGATTGCCACTTTTGGCAACTAAATAATACACCTTCTCTGCCCTTCGCTAGAAAAGAAAATCACAATGGTTGAAGACGCGTTCAACCCGCAAATTAATTCGAATCCCGTGTCTCGAAAAGTGAATATCAATTGTAATTGATGATATGACAAACTTTTTGGCAAGCACTGCCGATAAAATAGTATTGATCCACCTAAAAAAACTCTAATACAATTTTTTAAATGATAAACCATTAGCGTCAAACAGCCTAGTCCTGATAAAGGTGAGTCGTGTAAAAAAATTGTTATGCTTTTTTTGTAACGAATAGGAAATTGTTTTGACTTTCTAGTATTATTACTACAAAGATGTGTATACCTGCTCGACTTCCCCCTTGTACCGAAAATTAGATTTGGTGTCTATGCATCGTGGATGGCCGGATCGGTTGTCTATATTTTCATTTCCTGTGACTATAATGCACAAGCAACACAAAATTAATTCATACATACTGTTTTAGTTATTCGTCGAACACGTGAAACTATGACAGGGTACCAATATTTTCATACAATAACACACAATACAGTATGCTATATAGCGAGGGAACTGACGGTATACAACACCAGTGGAAGATTTTATTGCTTGGTTATATATATATTTTTAATTAACATTCAGGCATCTTTCTTATCAAATATATATCTGTTCATTTTTGAGGGTTGGAATGATAGTTTTATCTATCAGTAAAATTTTTCAGTGATTGGGTCATGCCCCTCCCCCTCTCGCGACTCGAAAGGTATGTATGACGCCACGTTTTCTGGTGCCATGACTTTTCACTACAGCCTTCAGCTCTTTTAATAGCTTTTTAACTATACATTGGCATTGGCCAAGTGACATGCTTGGTCACTGGGCCTGTACTCTTCTTCAGTATCTTACAATCTGATCAAAATTCTGCACGACCTAGCTGTTTTAAATACTGAATACCGCGACATCTCGTCCTGCTAAACTGCTATGATTCTGGAGTTAATAATTTACGAGAAACCATGCAAGTCTACGGAAGCTACACTGCTTTAAAATCCATCAAGTATACTATAATTTCGCAGTAAAAATATAGCTAAATGATTTTTATTCAAGCAAGTATAAACCACAATAGTGAATGCCTTCTATACGCGATTCATCTATGCCTCAAAAATAACAAAATTGTATTGTGAGACCATCTACAGAAATACTGTAATGTGCCACGAAACTTAATGTTTTTACTACAGTGAATTTCATGGCGATCGGAACCCAAGCTGCACATGTAAATAATATTGATATAAAGTGACTGTGCATCACTGGTAATCTGTGTGATTTTTAACAGTTTCGCGATGGTTGCAAGGTCTGTGACATAATATTGACTGACAGATAAATGAGTCTCATCAAATGTTAGAGGTATGATGGTAGGGACTTCGTGTCGAATGCTAATTTATTGTCGATTCTGTTGTCGTCGATGCTGAGGATAAACGTGCATATTATTACTGAACTACTTAATTTTATATTCTTAGTAGTTGTATATAGAAGTGTTTTATAAAGCGATATTTAATTTTTTTCATATTTCACTGGTTTGAAAATAATTGCGCCATTACGGCACACGAATGTCAAGTTTGTCTTCGGTGAGCTAATTCTGGACGAACTGCGCGTATTGTTAGTTTTCATATTTTTTTCTATTGCTCCGCAGTAGTTCGTAAAATTGAACTTTGAAAATATTTAAACTAATGACTTTGAACCAAATGTAAAGCGATTTTGCGCAGCTTGGGTCTACTTTGTCTTCACTTCTACTCTACAGGCTGTTATAAACTTTCTGGCGACTTGCCTACAAAATCTCAATAAAATCAAACAAGAATTTGACACCAATTATCACCATTTTTATTATGGAGCACCAAGAAGATGTTACAACATTTTAAACCATGTATTAGCGAAATTACGGGACCTTATATTATAACATTTATACAGTTTCAATTCAACGTATATTATAACTAACTTCTATGCTTGAAAATCCAATATCATATTTTTTGCGAACATCTTATCCACCAAAATAATTATTCATGCATCTATGACCACATCCAGTGCTGCAGCAGGATTGGCCATTTTTACAATCAGTACTTTTGCGGCAGCCTTCGACGCAAACGGGCTCTGCAGGATCAACAGGTGGGCAGCGCTTGGGAACGGCTGAAAAATTCAAAAACAATTAATCTAGGTAAGAAAAGAGGCTTAATTAACTAGTCATTACTGACATGACTGAAGGTAGATATGCATAAACTCATCAATTTCTGGGGACCGCTATCAGAAATTGATCGATTGAAAATTGAAGCAGATGTAATGCCAATAAATATTGGTCGATGAGCAATTCTAATGACGTGTCTGAGTATTAGAACATATTTGCAAGAATTTTGATGGATGTTAAGATTTATTTACAGCAACGAAAGAATGCACGTATATAAGGAAATTTTTGTGATTGTCAATGTTTAACGGTCCATTACTTGTTTTATGAAAACACCGGTTGAGATTGTAAATATTGTTATCCCAGCAACATCCCTTCGCTTTGCATTTTCTGTTGCTCGATGCTCCGCAGTCAATTCTAGCGCTTGGTTCCTTGTAATTGCACACGCCTGTAAAAATCAATTTACTTCATCAAACATTTTTGTAATGAAGCTAAACTAGTAATCCCGAAGTTTGACTCCCCATGTCTGCGGGATTTAAATTGTTATGAGAATTCTATAACCTAAATTCGTAATTTTGATTCTACACTGACCAAATTTAAAATCCATACTGATTGTTCAAGCAACATTTAATTAATGAAATAATGAAAGACCAATAGATACAAAAAAGTTTAAAGAAAAAGAAAGTTATTTCATAATATAATAAAAGTGTTTAAGTTTCACCAGGACAATCCGACAGTTTGATACATTCTTTCGATCCTGGCTTCCTTTCCACTGTTCCTTTAGGACAAACACAATTTTTGAATGGATTACATTCAAGCGTACAAAGAGAATGCTGAACTAGACAAGAGTCTTGACACGAAGATGCACATTTTGTATAAACTTTGTCTCCAGGACATTTTAGCGGAGGTGAGGGGACATCTGAAACGGGTGAGAAAAGCATAACGATATAGACTAATATGTTTAAATAATATATTGAACTGCAAATCACATTATGTTAAATATTCTAGACACCATAGTTTTGACAAGCTGCTCGCTTCAAGACTCCTATTTTGAATCATCCTATTTCAGTAACCATAAGATTGTTCATCAGAACAGACAGGAGTCAATATATTAAACGAACCAGATTCAATTTTTTATTTTTAATAGGTTATTGACGGCAGATACAGTTAAACATAGAAAAACAAGTTTCGGAAGTTTTATACCTGATTTGTGAAAGCACCAATTAACACCAGTGAAACTGTTATCCCAACAACATCCTTTTGCTTCACATTCGGCTTTTCCTAATCCTCCTCCGCAATCAACTCTGTTCTTTGGATTAGTATAAATGCACATGTCTATGAAATTGTATGCAGGCATGTGAGTGTATTAATAATAATATAGACGTACTGGGTTGATAGGATGTTTTATTTTTGACAACCATGAGCTTTCAGTACATTTATAATAAAAGTCCTTCATCAAATTTACTATATTTGAATGATAAATTTCTCAATCTAGCAACATCTGGAAGTCAATTATATTGAACGTAATGCTGTTCATACATCTTGCATATCTCTGGAAATAATAACGGAAGAAGTATTAGAATATTTACTAAATGCATGTAAAATAAAACGTATATATATATTTAATCCTTGCCTCTTCATTTAAAATCGTGAATTTATTCAAAAATGAAACTTTACCTTTGTAAAAACACCATTTCACTCCAGAAATGCTCCTGTCCCAACAACATCCCTTTGCTTCACATTTTCCTTTTCCCAATCTACGTCCACAGTCTCTTCGTCTTTCGGGAAGGAGGTTTGAGCAGGTTGGTTGGTCTGTTATGAGTAAAAATTTATATTTATTGGACACGGAGTGAACCTATAAATAGTTTTGGTATGTTGTTGTTTGTGGTCGTCTTGTTAGTGTTTCTTTTCTTCTTCTTCTTGTGAAAAAAATCCCTTTTCTCATTAACTATTGAACCCATTGCTTCGAAATCTTCAGTGGCTATTGTATCTACTTATATATTATATATTTTAAAGATTTCTGTGGCTTCGGTCGTTCATTTCTGGGATATGATTTTGTGTGTGATGGCGTGCGCTCCTCGTCGCGGTTCCGCTTTCAAGTTAAAATCTGCTGCTCATCTGCGATACGGTACTGTCAGGCTACTGTGACAGATTGCATACCCGTACAACTGTGTGTCTATATTTGAGCATCGCTCTCTCGTTAACAAATACAATCATTACCATACGTATTCACACAAACTATGCAATAGCCAATAAACAAAATATTGCCGATGCCAGCAATTTTTCAGCGAGAATTTTCAAATTATGAGTACTAGGTTGCTTACCATGTGACGTAATTGTGTTTTGGACTTGTCCTCATAAACAAATAATATAATACCATTACGTGCATCGATGATTATCAACACATTTTACTACATATTGTAGTGACATATTGATTATAAACAGTGGAGGGTTTCAAAATTTTAGGAATAGGTACTCCTTTTTATCGAAATCACTAACAACAAGTTCTGTTATTTCAGAAACCCATACCCAACTCATAGCTCTAATAAAACAAGGACGAATTTGAACGAACGCGTGACAACATTGTGGATTTCATCATTGATTATAAATTGAATCTATCCCAAATGAACTATTTTTGTGTTGAATTCTCACCGTTAGGTTTAGAACAAAATCGAATTCTGCATGCCTAGAAATTATTTTGCCTTTTAGTTTTTAACCTAACATAAATATCCCACCTTATTCCCCGAGAATATCAATTTTGATTGTAATATTCTTTTTTATATACTGAGAGTTTAATAAAACAGAACTCGTCTCAATTTATTTATTCATGTATTTGCATTGGGTGCTAACGGACTCGGATGACGGCTTATGGTCGTATCATTCATTCATCACCCAGTCATCTACTGTATTATATATGTGTTGTTTTATTATTATTATTTGTATCATTATCATGTTTTCTGTTTTGGCGAAAAATTAATTCTCTCTCCCTTTCTCCCTAATTCTCGGGTTTGTCAATACAGCACCGTTTGGAAGCAGCGAAGGATAACTATCACCATTTTAATTTTTATTAATGATTATCACCCACTGATTCTAAGGGTCATATCTTAATATATATCCCTGAATATCTTGGGAAATAAGATATCAACATGTACTATAAACTTACAATTATGTAAAATGATAATACAATATACATATGCTTATGCCTAGATTGCACCTTTAAGTTATCCTTGTGACGGAATTTACAAGCACTGCAGAAAACGTTTTATCCCATGTGCACATGGATTATATATGATAAAAAAACTAAGAGTAGTTTTGATATTTTGTTCCCTTCTATCATCATAACTACATACGGTGTCAGTGTCTTGTGGACATGATTTTTCTCTGACTTGAATTTTCTTCACTCCAGTGAAACATCTGCTTTGAGAAAATTCTAATGACATACATAAGCAAACATTCCCACCTGGGCAGTTTGTCAGAACTACGCACTTATCCGATCCAGTAGTTATTTCAACAGTTCCCGAAGGACAAACACAATGTTTGTGTGGATCACATTGAAGTGTACACCCATCATGTTGAACTTCACAAGAGTCTTGACACGAAGATGCACAGTCTGTGTGAACTTTGTCTCCGGGACATTTCGGCGGAGGTGGAGGAATATCTACAGTATACGGGAATATAGGAAACATGGTTTTATTATATGATATGTAACATTCTTCAAAGAAATGCATGCTACTAAGACATTTATGTAGCCAATGAATAAAATTCATAAACCTTCATAAAGGTTTCTTTGCCTTATTATCTTAATCACCGCACACACTCACAAACCTATGACCACAACTAATGCGCTTACACAGTTTTATTGAACAAAACGAATTTACACAAAAGTTATTAAATAAATTCATGGTACTGGTTTATGCGAAGTGAGTGGGAACAGATGATTATGATACAAAAACTTCTAATACCTGTTTCATGAAAACACCATTTGACGCCAGGGATACTGTTATCCCAACAACATCCAGAACAAAATCAAGTTACATTGCAAATAGGGCCGGATTTGTACGAAGAGAGGCTCTAGGTAAGGGGTGGGCCATTTGGCTCGCGAGCTCATTTATTCGGCACGCGAGCGAGGCCTCGCAAAAGAGATCTTTTTTTCTTTTTTTCGGATAAAAAGTTTCAATACTCTGAATTATCTGATAAAACTAAGTGTTCGATCATTTATTTATTTGTTTACCCCTGTGAATTTCACCATTGATTATAACCCTGTGAATTTCACCATTGATTATAACCCGTGAATTTCACCCTCGAATATACCCCTGTGAATTTCACCATTTGCGTTAAATATGATTTTTGTGCTGAATTCTCACCGTAAGGTTTAGTACAAAATCGAATTCTGTATTCCTATAAGGTATTTTGCAATTTAGTTTTCACTCTAACATAAATATCACACCTCATTACACGAAAAAATCAATTTTTATTATGAGCTTTTTTTATATACTGAGAGTTTAATGAAACACAACCAGTATCAATTTATTTATTTATTCATGTATTTGCATTGGGTGGTAAATGACCCGGATGACCGCTTATGTTCGTATCGTTACCACCCAGTCATCTACCGCAAACTGTATTATGTGTTATTTTATTATTATTGGACACGTTAGTGGACCTATAGATCGTTTCAATATTATGTTGTTGTTGTTCTTGTTAATCTTGTTGTTCTTGTTCTTTGACACGTTATAAAAGAGTCGCTTTTCTCTTTGATTACTGAACCAATTGCTTTGAAATTTTCTGTGGTTAAAGATTGATTTTTTTTACCAGAAGGCTATTACTCTTATTTTGTATTATTGGACACGGAGTGGACCTATGGATCGTTTTACTTTTTTGGACACCTAGTGAAAACCGTAAAAAGTCGCTTTTATGCTGGCACTCTTCTTCTTTTGATCACGTGCTCGTCATTATCAAACGTCGGTGGTGTGTAACGAAGTTTCTGCTTTGCCAGGATAACGGGAATGGCGAATAGCGCCTTAGGTACCGGTAGCGTCGAAGGTAAGGACAGCTTCTCTCTGATTAACGTGTCCATATATTTGAGCATTGCTCTCTTGTTGGACACGTAGTGGACATAACGATCGTTTCAATATTATGTTGTTCTTGTTCTTGTTGTTTGACACAGAATAACACACCTAGTGGAAATATTAAAAAACCGCTTTTCTCTTCGAATACTGGACCAATTGCTTTGAAATTTTCAGTGGTTGAAGATAAAATTTTTCCCCAGAAGGCTATTACTTTTATTCATTTTAAATATTTCTGTTAGCTCTGTGAGATTTGTTTATGTTTGCTATGACGTCATTAAACGTTCTGCGGTCATCGGACGCCATTTTGTGTCCTACTGTACTGCTTCGCTTGGTGTGAATATATTTGTAGACTGTGATCTGACGGTACGGTAAACCGTACTGTACTGCGAACAGACGTGTCCATATATTTGGGCGTAGCTCTCTTGTTATTTGTATCATCATTGTGTTTTCCGGTTCGGCAAAAAATAAATTCTCTCTCCCTAATTCTCGGGTTTGTCAGTACAGGGCTTTTGGAAGCAGCGAAGAATAATTATTACCATTTTATTTTTCATTAATGATTATTACCCACCGGTTCTAAGTGTCGTATCTTAATATCCCCGAATATCTTGGAAAATAAGATATCAACAGACACTATAAACTGACAATTATGTAAAATGATAATACAATATTTATACGCTTATGCCTAGTTTATACCGTTAAGTTATTCTTGTGACGGAATTCACAAACACTGCAGAAAATGTCTTATCACATGTGCACATGGATTATATATGATAAAAAACTAAGAGTTGTTTTGTTATTTTTTTCTCTTCTATCATCATAGCTACATACGGTTCAGTGTCTATTGGACATGACTTGTCTTCATTTCAGTGAAACATCTGCGTAAGAAAATAGTAATGACATACATAAGCAAACATTCTCACCTGGGCATTTTGACAGTACTACGCACTTATCCGATCCAGAAGTTAATTCAACAGTTCCCGGAGGACAAACACAATGTTTGTGTGGATCACATTGAAGTGTACACCCATCATGTTGAACTTCACAAGAGTCTTGACACGAAGATGCACAGTCTGTGTGAACTTTGTCTCCAGTACATTTCGGCGGAGGTGGAGGAATATCTGCAGTTCGTGAATATAGACAACATAGTTTCATTATATGATATATATTAAACATTCTTCACAGAAACGCATGCTACTTCACTATCAAAGACATTTATGTAGCCAATGAATGATATTCATAAACTTAAATATCGCTCGGTGATAACTTGAAACAGGTTTCTTTGCCTTATTCTCTCATCTACCGCACATACTCACAAACCTACGACCGCAACTAATGCGCTTACACAGTTTTATTGAACAAAACGAATTTACACAAAAGTTATTAAATAAAATTCATGGTACTGGTTTATGCGAAGTGAGTGGGAACAGATGATTATGATACAAAAACTTCTAATACCTGTTTCATGAAAGCACCATATGACACCAAGGATACTGTTATCCCAACAACATCCTTTTGCTTCACAATTGGCTTTTCCTAATCCTCCTCCGCAATCAACTCTGTTCAATGGATCAGTATAAATGCACATATCTGTGAAATTTTAGTTTAGATGAGTGTGTAAATATTTGGGGCCTGCGTTCATGATTTATAACTTTCGGACTCTTTGGTCTTGAAAATGCTTTAGAGTTGCTCTGACAAAATAACATTTATCAAAACAAGATAGAGATATAAAACTATCCAATCATACTGAAACAAGTAATTATTAATTAGATATTGGTAAAATAATAAAAATTCACAAATTTTATCAGACTTCATCGTGTAGTATATTTTGAAAATTAATGTGACTTTACCTTTATAGAAACACCAATTGACCCCAGTAATACTGCTGTCCCAACAACATCCTTTTGCTTCACATTTTTCTTTTCCTAATCCACCTCCGCAGTCCGTTCTTCTTTCAGGAATAAGGTTCGAGCATGTCGGTTGTTCTATAAAAAAAAATGGTTATTGCAAAATACAACTATTATTTAACATTACATAAACTTTCAAACACCATTAATACAAAAAGAGTTACTGTTATAAAAGGTTAAACAGCCCAAAGTTTTGTCTTTGGCCCTTTTTATTTGGTTTTTGATAACACATCTATATGCTAATCAAATAGTTAGATTAGTCCCATTTGAGAAAGAATTCAAAAACTCAGTCCTCCATGGTGAATTTCTCAAGGCGGAAAGTACAAAATCAAGTTACATTGCAACCAGGGCCGGTTTTGTACGAAGAGAGGCCCTAGGCTATGCCAGTTGTGAGACCCCTCTTTAGCAATAACGGCATAAAAATCCATTATGACATATATAAGTTTTTGAATTGGGTGAGATATGGAATTTTAATTACAGGAAAAATACGTACGTTAATCCCCCACGTAAATCGGATAGTAAGTTGAATATAAAAAACTTTAAGTAACAGTGGCTGTTATAAAACGCCACGGTACCAGAAAACCTGATGCCATAATACCGGTTGTTAGTCACGAGAGCTGGGAAGACATGGTCCCGTTACTGATATATTTAAGGTTACTGGTAAGCTAAATTATAATTTAATTTAAAAAAACAGTCTACGATAAAAAAAAAATTTGAAATAGTATAAAATATAATAATTCTTAGACTCGTTGTTGCTTAGATAAACTGGTATTGTTATATATCGATATTTTCAAACTTTTTTTTATTCCTATGCCGTTTTCATAAAGGCAATATTATGGTAAAAAATATTCAATTAATTTAAATTGCCATATTTTGTTTTCAAAGGTAATGGTGTAGGTCTTTTCTAGACAATTGTATTTATTCGATCGTATTCAGTTTATTTAATAATTCAAAAGTAAATATATAGAACAAGAATTGTTAACCTGATAAAAAACATCAGTTTTAAAATAATACAAACCGGTTTTATTCTGGAACAAGCTTTAATAATTAAAAAGCGACTTATAATCAATATTTGTTTATAATTAAATGTCGAGGCCTTCCGGACTTGAGGACCCTATAAAATGTTAAATCCGGAATTTCTTTGAAATCTCCAATGTGAATGAGTCTACAAATAGTTTTCTTTATAAATCTTCAAAAATTCCCACCTGGACATTTTAACGGCTCAACGCACTTATCCGATCCAGTAGTTATTTCAACAGTTCCCGGAGGACAAACACAATGTTTGTGTGGATCACATTGAAGTGTACACCCATCATGTTGAACTTCACAAGAGTTTTGACACGAAGATGCACAGTCTGTGTGAACTTTGTCTCCAGGACAATTTGGCGGAGGTGGAGGGATATCTACAGTACGTGGATATAGACAACATAGTTTTATTATATGATATGAAGCATTCTTCAAAGAAACGCATGCTACTTCACTATCAAAGCCATTTATGTAGCCTATGAATGAAATTCATAAACCTAAATATCGCTCGGTGATAACTTGAAACAGGTTTCTTCACCTTATTCTCTTATCTACCGCACACACTCACAAACCCACGACCGCAACGAATGGTTTTACACTGTTTTATTGAACAAAACGAATTCACTCAAGAGGTATTAAATAAACTTTGTGGTACCAGTTTATGCGAAGTGAACAAGCTTTAACAATTTGAAAATGATCTAAAATCAAAAATTGTTTATAATTGAATTATATCCTATATATAATATAATATAAACCTACAGTTCGTGAATATAGACAACATGGTTTAATTAACATATTTAAATTTTTCACACACAGTTACAATATAGCAATTTACCTCCTGTTAGATCACCGCCAGCCGCAAATCCAATTGCAATACTTAGTAGTAGATATATTTGTATCATTTTTATATAATGTAGGCATATATCTATCTGCCTTTATAAATAAAAGTAGCAGCATATTAAAGACTGCCATATGACAGAAACTACTGTGTCAAAAGCTATCTTGAATTACTCAGTGTAAATGGGACTGTCTTTTATTGAAGCAAAGTCTTCGAAAAGCAAAATTGGTAAAGTAATATAAATTCCTCAGTAATATAAGTTTAACTCTATCTACTCGAATATAGGTTCCAATTATTTATTTATTTCAATATTATCGCATGTGGACAACAAGTTCATTAAAGTATTTCAAAATAATATTCTTACGAATACCAAATGTTATTTACCATATACACCAAGTTTGGCTTCTGCTGAAGGCTGATGATATGGTTCTTAATAAAATCGACAATATATGCCACCGAGTGACATCCGTCATTGAATAAGCTAAAAATATTTCGTTTGTATTTATATAGTAGGCTACTTTTCAGGATTATTAACGGCAAAACTGGAAAATGTTGTCATCCTAATAAATCAGTGACAAACAGAGGGCGCCGGAAGGCAAACCATGTTTTGCAATTAATTTATAAGGTTACAAGAGTGCCGGATATAAACGTGATCGAGCAGTTAACCGGATTTACGGGATTGAAATTAGTCATTTATATAAGTGTTTATTTCACACAAATTGAACCGAACGTTTCTCTAATTGGTTGTTGTATGACAAACCTTTGACTTTAGCTTCATGATCTGGAACAAATCATTTTAAATTTGCGTTAGTAAAACGGGTGTGTCTTTATAGTAATACTTCATATAATTTTTTCAAATCAATCATGGCAGTTTACTTTTTAGGCACATATATCAGGGAATTGCAAACATTACTAAAAATACATTAGTGATTTGTAAATGATCCAATTCATGTTTTGAAGACGAGTCCATCCCATATTATGATATATATATATATATAATGCACTTTATTATTTATCAACATAATAGCCAAAAGATTTTATTTTAACAACAACAATATGAACAGCTACAACAGTTAAATAAAACGGTACACTAATCGGCCTACTCACTCAATGTTCAAAAATAAAGTTAAAATCCGGAATCCAAGTATCCATGACTATTCGGTAGGATGTAGTGATGTGATGCACATACACAATAACAACCAGTTCATTTACTAACTGAACAGGTTAAACAACAAATCCGTTCCAATGAGCATTACAATGATGCCTTGTAAAATAAATATTCAAGAGAATGATCCTCGCACTCTACAAATTCCTCTTTGGTTGATATCATTAATTTTTTTTTGGGGGGGGGGGGGGGGGGAGGGGGAGGGGGGATGTAAGAATAACATGTTCCACGCCGGGCAATGTGCTAGATAAGATGATTTTTGTACACGTTTCGCAGATAGCTGATCTTATTTTAAAATGATCTTGCCTGCTAATCTTGTCTGTAGTTCGTCACAAAGTTATACTTATATTCCAAGAAGCACATAATGCTGTTCACGACAATATTAAAATGCGTACCATTGATGTCTTGAAAAGACGCGTCCATCCCTCGCTTGTGAATTTTATTTTGTGATTTGTGATTTTTTTCCTTCTAAGAAGCACGTAATGCCGAAGACGACTGTTCACAACAAGATTAAAATGTGTAACATTGATGTTTTGAAGACGCGTCCATCCCTCGCTTGTGAATTTTATTTTGTGATTTGTAATTTTTATTTTGTTTTTTTCTAAGAAGCACGTAATGCCGCAGACGACTGTTCACAACAAGATTAAAATGTGTAACATTGATGTTTTGATGACGCGTCCATCCCTCGCTTGTGAATTTTATTTTGTGATTTGTGATTTTTTTCTTTCTAAGAAGCACGTAATGCCGAAGACGACTGTTCACGACAAGATTAAAATGTGTAACATTGATGTTTTAAAGACGCGTCCATCCCTCGCTTGTGAATTTTATTTTGTGATTTGTGATTTTTATTTTATTTTTTTCTAAGAAGCACGTAATGCCGCAGACGACTGTTTACAACAAGATTGAAATGTAGACTGCGGCTTTGAATTATATAAATATAAAATGACAAGAGCGGATTAAAATGAAATAAACTTTGACTGCAAAATGAAATGAAATATTTAATAATAATCGCATAAAATTTTTAAATTTTTATATCTTTCACATTTTAAATTTTTTACCAAGAAAGATATGAAAGGAAGTTCTTGAAACAAAATTAAAGTAATGTTTCTCTAACATCAATATTTTATGTCAGTGTTACTATGCATGAACTTGTGTGTTCAAAATATTTTGAAGATCGTATTAGTCGAATTCCCTTCGCAACCGCCCGGGCATCTCACGGCATTTCTGGTAATATTAACAAAGCACTTAATGACAATTGAAAAATGAATATATTTGGCGTCATCATTGAATCGTATTGATCACAAAGGATATTCAAATCATTCGAAAATGCGTTGCGTTGAAAAATAGCCGAGGCATAAAATGCGATATGTTTATTATAGACTGACATTAAGTTTATAATCTTTATGCAGTAACAAACTTATATTTAATACATGTTTTATAAATTGTTTTAAAAAAAGAACACCCATCTTCGTACAATATTAAAAAAATTTATCATCAAATTATACCAATTGTGACAACCCGTATTTTTATCTTTTAAGGACATTGTTTGATCTTACTGCTGGATTTTGTATTTTGATGTTCAAAAAAATATGCACTATACGACTATAGCATTGCCAATCTGTCTTTTGGTATCCTGTTAGACTAGACCAGGGGTGTGCAAACTGCAAAATGCGATATGCGTTCGCGTAACTGCCACAAGGTACGCATATTTTGATGAATTCATGGCACACAAAAAACGAATTCCATCAATCTCACAGTAATATTTGAAATAAATAAAAGTAATAAGCTTCTAGCGAAACATACAATCTTTACCAACTGAAAACTTCAAAGAAATTGATCCAGTAATCAAAAAGAAAAGTGATAACGATATAATTGTAGATCCACTCCGTGTTCAATGAGTGCATGGTCGTGATCTTTGTGGCAAACGTTAATATCAAACGACTTTACTTTCAAGTTTTCATTAGCAGCTGAGCATACAAAGACATGGTAGTGGTAGTACGATCGGCGGAAATGCTTGACGTGATCAACTCTCAAAACCTACTTAGTCTCCTCTGTTTCCGTGTATACTTCGTATCTGGTCGATATTTTGATACAATATAGTCTGCTAGTTTGAAAACATGAGACAGTACATAAGTATTCTGCACCATTATAAAGTTCTTCCATGCATATTTGTTATCTGGTAAATTGAATGAGATTTACAATGGTCCATACACTTCAATCTTAGTGATATGAATTCAGATATGCTTTACTTTCACTTCATTCAATGTACGAGTAAATCAAACAGTTCTGGCGTAAATATACATACAGACTTGCAATTACCTAAAGTATCAATTACGACGAAGCATATCTCGACGATAAAATTGATCAAATTAGAACTCATAATGCTATTACCGATATTTGAAAAAGTTTACTTTATTTGTGAATTGGAAAACATAAGCACCACTACTTTTTGTCAGCTACATTAACTTGCGCTAATCTTCGATTAGATTTTTTTTTTGCCAGTTTATCATAAATAACAAAACAATAGATTATACGAGGGAGATTCCCAATATCACATCTTCCATGACAATGAACGATCCGAATGAACTGGTTTGCGGCACAGATTGTCTTTAAAGTCATCATAGATTGATATATAGTGTACGTATTCATCCACTCAAGTGTCTGAATGCGTATCGATATTTTTTATTGGATATGAACGCCATGCTCGAACATATTTTTGTGAAATGTAGAAGTTAGCATTCGCCCACTATTCCGGGTTGCAGTCAACAGTACATTGAATGCATCGATGGCATCTCTTTGCTCGAATATATAACATGTGATGTCCCACAGGGGAGTACTCTTGGACCGCTTCTATTTTTAATAAATATATATATATATATATCATTGATTTACCAGCAGGTAGTTCCATATCCAAATTGACGATAAAAAAATAGAACGAACAAAATGTATTAGGTATTTGGGTATAATCCTAGATAAGTTCTTGTCATGAAAACCTCATATTGATCATTTATGTAAAAAAGTTTCACAATCACTCGGAATATTGTATAAATTACGTAGAATCCTCGGTAATGATGCATTAAAAACTGTATATTATAGTCTTATATACTCTTATCTGAAATATGGCACTATCAGTTGGGGAAGAACTAATAAAACTACGCTAAAACCACTGGTAATTCTGTATAACAAAGCGATTCGCGGCATGTTATTCGCAGAATCACAACATGTTTATATCTCACTCTTATACAAGCAGTGTGTATTACAACTGAAAGATATCTATCTTTTTGAAATTGCCAAATTTATGTATCGCTTTGAAAATCATATGCTACCCCCAATATTTCATAAATTATTTACTAAAATTTCAATCCTCCACGCCACAAGGAGTGATACAGAAATGACTTATTTCATGCCTCGATGCTCATTTTCATTAACAGAAAAATCGCTCGGATCAGGGGGCATTCTAATTTGGGAAAAATTCAGTCTAATATTAAAGACAACTTATCTGCAACATTCAGTGAGAGATTAAAAATTCATCTACTTGATGGCCATGGATAGATGAGAAAAAGACTAGGTTTATTTCCTTACGAATCCATGTTATATTATTATTGTATTGCTGCTATGTCCATGCTATATATATAAATGTTTGCCCAAATCTTAATTAACTTTAATAACAATTTCCCTCTATTTTGTCACTAGTGCCCAATCAGAAAAACAGCCCTTGAACATTCAAAATATAAAAAGAAATGCGGTACTTCGGGTGTCGCTGATCGATAACCAGCTTTGGTTCCCCGCGACTTTCCTTACCCAGTAAAATTGTGTAAATTATCATTTTTTCGTAATTTGTGCTTATGATATTTATGCTTTTTTTTACTGGTTGGAAAAAATAAACTTGACTTGATCTGCACAAACCAGAAAATATTTTAGCGACCCGTGTTGAAGAAGTTTAACAACCCCTGGTACAAAAGTCGTAGTTACTTGTTACAGCAGTAATAGAATATTGTTGCTTGTATATTGAATATTGACTCCGATCAATGCAAGGTTAAATGGAAGCTAATCGTTTAAATATAGAGAATTTTGCCTTAAGACCGCCTTCATAACCTATCTAATTCAAGAAACTACGAGAAGATTAGTGGCTGTATATAGCTTACAGCAGTCGGTATAAAATATTTGTTTTTTAATTTATTTTAAAAATAGTGATGACTTTTCAGGTTGAATTAGAATAAAGCTCTCTTTTGCCATCCCTGTCTGTTTTTAGGGGTTTTAAATATGGCAGTTATAAATCTTTGTTCATTTTGAATCTCTGTTTGTTCTGCTATTGTTTTCGACAAACAAACTAATGGAAAAGCACATGTTCTTTCCCCAATATCTTAATGGTTCATCCTGACTGAATCTTCGTAATCACTCATGCCCACAAAAATGAATCTGCCCATGATTTGCAATTAAATGTTTGAAACTGTTTGTTCTAAACAACGAGAACTAGTTGGAGAAAACCATTGGTAGTGATAGGTGTATCTGGTTGTACTTGGTGCTACTTGTTTTTACCGTCTTCTTCATTCATGGTTTCGAGCTGACAGAAGTCATCAATTTACTTTTAATCTGATACCTCAATCCACCATTGACTTGTTCAACAGCGAATTAAAATGAACTTGAACTAGACCACGTATTGGAATTGTTTACAAGACTCGTCGGTATAATCGTTTTAACTATCTGAACTTAAGGGAAGAGATGAAATTTAAATCATACAAAAAGCATATTATAGCCTACCCGTGGAAGATTTTTTCAGAACATACAACGTCATTTACCCAATATAAGGAGCAGTTTATTTGTTGGATATAAGTCGGTATATGTTTACACTTTCACAAATAATCATTTGATATACAGGAAAAATGGCTATAAGAATAACCAATTCAGCTCGTGTTTACAGCTTGATATATATATGTAAATGTGGAGTAGATGATATTACAGTTCATCTTAATTCTACAATCTCTGGAAACATTTATAGGTTATTTTTAGTTCAAATCGAAAGTCTATTGAAACGTAATATTTCCATTTTTCATGCATCTATGAATATCCATAACAGCGATGTCCACATCCATCGAAACAGCACACTTCCACGTCATTACAATCAGAATCTGTTCTGCAAGCATCTAAGCACAGCTTTATAGCAAATTTCAGAGACGGGCAACGAAGATCCGCGGCTAAAATAGGATAAAAAAATTTCAAATTCAAAACATGATAAAGCAACAACGATTTTCCGACAAATCGAGACTAATTAACAAATTAACTTTTCATACACAATTGTCTTCAGTATACCGGCAACGCTTCAACTGTTTTTCGCTGAATAATCTATTATATATTTGTACAGATACAGAAAAAATATTTTCGAATAACGATAACTCGACTCTTTTGATGCTAGTTTTATTTTTCAAATTGATCATACTGAACTAGTCGAATCATTCAAATCATAAAATTCAGTAATATAACTAATGTGACCATCTTCACGATGTCTTGATCTTTTCACATGGTCTCTGAAGTCATGATGTACTCAAATACTTACGTTTCGAGCAATCGTTTGGTAAAAGAAGGACGTCTTTGATATACCACTCAGTGCCACAGCCATCACAGTAGTTTGGTTTACAGACAGCTTTTTCCGGATAACGTGGGCAAGTTCTACCATCACATGGATTTGCGAAACATTGAACTGGGGGACGTCCGCCGGGACACTTGCCTGTTAAAAGTAAATTGTTTTTTATGAAAGAACAATCATGCACTGGAATTTAGATACTCATAGAAATAATAGTATGGAAGAAAAATGTGATTGATTAATTAATTATGAACTAGAGTGGAGAGAAACGTACTCGGCTCATCCAGGCAGACTGAAGCACATCCGTTGCGACAACAAATCTTCTTGTATCCGCATTCTGCGTTGGATCGACAATTTGAAACGCAACCACCATAGCCATAATCAAGCTTTGGACAAAACATATCTGAAAAATATTAACAACATTTCACCTTGTGGCACTAAAACGTACATCATGTAACATGAATTTCTGTGGGTAATGATATTTTATATGAAAAACATAAGAGTTTGAACTGTATGGTATAAGATTACAATTTGTTACCATAGCATTTTGGGTGCAATCCGACAAGCTTGCCCTTTCCTTTTCTGTTAATGCATTTTCTTCTGGATCCTCCTCTCATGCGGAAGCCTGCATCGCATCTGTATACTACATATTCTCCCTCGTTGATATTATCTCGGTCACCGGGCGCTACAATGCCTTGGATAAGCTCCTTTGGAACATCGCAATGGATTCGGCCTAAAATGTATAGAGTTTCACACAGACGCAGAGATTGAGTCGGATTCATATAGATATGTGTGGTGATTCATGTCTTAAAAGCTAGCAACGCCTAAAACAGCCACGACATTTGACCCTGCTGACGTATACTGTTCGTCCTTTAATAGCATTGTGTTTTGATTTGAAAGTCATACTTTGGTTTGTGCTGCTTTAAGACTCTTAGTTGAAGTTTGAGCTAATAAAAGCCTAGCATACAAGTTTGTTTATTTCTGTATTAGGCTCATTACAACATGCATCAGATATATTATCGTAGGTTTCTTCATATTGGAAAAAAAATCATTTTAACAAAATAGCTTACCTGGACATGTCTCTGGTTTCACGCATATGTTTGAGTTTTTATTGAGCATTATTGTTCCCGGGGGGCAGACACAGTGGTTTGTCCTCGAACAATCACTTGTACATAAGCCATATTCAAAATCGCATGAGTTTTCACACACCGAGGCACACAACGTGTAAATCTTGTCTCCGGGACATTCCGGTACTATGATTGAAATATATAGTTTGCAATCTCACGCATTTTTATTTTATGTAACTGTATATTGAACTGTTATATTGAGTACAGCAAAAAATAAAAAATCTGTTCATCAGGAACAAAATTCTAGTTGATTGTCACAGATACATTAAAAATGCAAGCGGGGTTCTTTGCACAAAACCAAATGTTTGCTAAATGCAAAGTATTTTCTGAGGGATATTATTGTTTTAAAACTCACTTTTACAATCCGCGCGATTACCATGTCGATCTTCGTACCATTCTGAGCAATCACATTGTGATGAACGACATTTTAAAAATGGATTTCCTGGACAAGTTGCTATGCGACAGAGAGGAACTATGCCACAATTTTTTGGTGTACATGGAACTGTTAAATGAAACACAACTATTTATATAAATTTTATTATCAAATGGGTAAAGAATTGAACATTAGTTGAGTAAAGTTTATTAAAATTTTTTCCTGATCTGCGAATGAAAAAAACTTTACAATTACAATGCTAAAACATAGGTACATAACATACATAAGTTGGTATCGTTACCATGTAAACGGTGAGCATTTACCGCCAAACTAATCTGTTGAAAGTCTACATAATACCGACATTTGGGGTGAAACAACGGATGCAAGGGAGAAAATCATAGTAGACCTAATAGCCTTTAGAAGCTAGTTACTATTTATTTTCTAAAGATTTGAAAGGCTGTTAATAACATGTTCGAAAACAATTATGGGAATATCCGTTTAGGTCTGCGTCGTAGTTTTTTTCTAGATCTGGAATATATGTAATAATTGAGCCCTCCTTATTTGACTCGAATATCAGTAGATCTCACCATCACAATCAACACGATTTCCTTCTGCGTCCTCGTACCATTCTGAACAATCGCAGTTGGAAGCTTTGCATACAGCACTTGGATATCCGGGACAATTCGGTCTGAAACACGGGGGAACGATGCCGCAGTTTCTTGGCGGACAAGGGGCTAAAAGACAATTATAAATTACTCATTGATGCCGCATAATAGTGGTAGTGATAATGTTCCACTCCAGCTGTACTTAACAATGTGAACAGCTATTTCACTCACTTGTTGTGCCGTAAATAATTTGTAATCTGAATAGTTGTCGTATTGAAAAACAACTACACAAACCTAGTAATTGGGTGGCGAACCTTTTTTACCGAATACATCAAAAGTATATTTTTATTGCGGAAAAAAGATTACCGTGCGTCATAGATATTTAATTAATATCCGCGTCAATGAAAAACTTGTTTTTGAATCTTTTCCGCAAGTCCTATAATTATTGGATGGTATTGTGGTTTGAGTTTTACACGTGTAGCCTTCATTATGCTGATGTGTTTTCTGGTACTCGATTTTAGGAAATTCATGACAAAAACATGAATTCACATGCAAATGAATTACCGAAAAACGATTATAATGCCGTGGCAAATCTTTGGTATATCGAAAGAGTTCAGTTCGTAAGGAAAGTCTACTCTGGGAGAATTCAATTCGAGGTTGTAAAATTTTATCTTTCAAACGGAATTGTATGCGGGAAAAGAACGAATTGCAATGAAGGAGCTATTTCTCGCTTAACCTCCAAAACATCCTACCGCCGACTCATGCACTTCCCCCAAAGTGAATCGCTGTTCTATGACAAGTTGCGAGAAAGGAACAGATCCAGTCGCATTGTTATGTCATAAATGTCGTTGGTGCATTTGTTGCTAGCAAAGCCTAGCCCTATATATACATGGTTGCTAGTAGTCGCATATCGCTGAGGTAGCCTATGCCCTATGGACCGTTCCTCGCCTCTTGGTCCCCGTAAAATTCTTCCTATATTTTACCATTGCAAAATTTTTGGTGCTTATTTTAAGAGTGGTTTCGCGAATTGCCGTCTGTAAAATGGGATATTTGTTTCAAGCCATCATTCTGATTCATGGCATTCAACAATCTGTTTTTTAAAAGTACCGATGAAGAATTTTAGCATAGTCTATCACAGCTATTTCTACACTCATTTTTGATTACTGCAATTAAACTGAAACTCCTAAGAAGACAAAGTGGTCATTGAATTATTTGATGTATATATTTAAATATCCGAAACACAACTGAAAACTAACAAATAGAATTCAAAAACGCGAAAACAAGATAATGTTTACAACCACGCCTGAAGTTCTGTCTGAGCGATAAAAGTGTCTAAGCGGATGCGAAACTACGTCACTTTTGGCATCTTGCTGATTGGCCAATGTCACGAAGTAAGCAGGGAAGTCGATGCTCGGGGAAACATCCATAGTAGCCAAGTTCACTTATTGTCAAATTAAACTGAGGCCGGTTTCATTACCAATTTTTATCACCGGAAAGGTAAGTTTTTGCCATATGGTGGGTTACTTTATGATCCGCGGGTTAATGATTCCCCCATCCCTACATTAGATACTATTCTATACAATAAAGACAACTATTGCACTCACCAGATGGGCAGTCAGATGGTTTTATGCAGTTATTTGAGCCTGTTGTTTCTTCAATAGTTCCGGGTGGACATATGCAATGGTTGTCTGGATCGCAGTCACGTGTACACCTATCATGCTTGAGTTGACAAGAATCCCGACATCTTGGCGCACAACGTCTCCAAACTTTGTTGCCAGGACATGTTTCTGGTTTGGGGAGAACCAGTGAACCTGAGAAAATGTTACACTGAGCAAGAATATTTTAAGCCTGAGCAGGGCCCTAATTGATTAAGAAAGATTACAACAGTATGAAAGATTATCAGAATGCAAACAAGGTTTAACACGAAAACATGGAATGAGCATTCAAGCAAGGCATTATATAATAAGAAATGCTTTGAAATTGTTGCAAGTGCGCGAGAATGAGGTTTTACTGCGCAAATGGTCTGTTGGTAATGCGCAATTGCGCATTTTGGAGGGAACCTTGGGGGGAACTGAAAAATATTTTCCGACGATTTATAAATACACATAAATCAATGTTATTTTCTGATTTTGTCCAATAGTTATGATTATTAATAAACAGTGGTCATTACATATACAGTTGTGTTCTAATTCGTTTTAAAATGGCAATTGATTGGAGTTTTATTCCTATTATGCATGTCATTTAATCAGTGTCGTATCTAGGGCATGGCATCTCAGAAAAATGTTTCAACTCTGGGCGCACAATACCGCTGTTTGATTAGGTTTATTTTATAAGTATATCTAAAACAAAGACAAAAAATAGCAGGATAACAAATGCATTTATTCTCCAAATGAATTCATATGTACACTTATCCTACCTTTCCCGCAGCAGTCTTTAATTTCTGCTCGATCGAGTCCGAAGAAAGCAACTGAACATTTTCCGCATCTTCTTGGTTCACATCTTGCTTCCGGATATTGAGGACAGAGAGCGTGTTTACAAGGATCGATGCAAGCAACTTCAGGTTGGTCAGTGGGACACCCTTTCAAAGACAAATTGCATAAATATTGTGATAGCAACAACATTTCTACAATTTCCTGTATTTTCTCTTATTTCTGCAGGTTAAAACATTCCTGGTTGGACGTAGTCACTAGTGTTGAATCACTTTCTAACGACAGTCGTCGTCAGGTAGTACAGTATTTCATATATAATTCAACTATCTAACGTAAAGATATTTCCGTTGTCTAGGCAAGAAAAAATGTCATTAACGCCAGTTAATGTTTGAAATTAACCAAATTAATGAATATTATACCATTGCAGTCCTCCCCAGTCAGTCTTCTTTGACCATCAAAAAACACGACGTTACAACCATTGCATCCATCAACAATGCATTTGGCGTTTGGATAATTTGGACATTTCTGACCGAGGCAATCAGCACCGGGTGGATTTGCCAAACACCCCGCGACAGGAACGTCACCAGGACAATCCTCTGAAAAAAATAAACTGATTTCAAACAAGGAGCAATTGGAAGAATTGATAATGTTGTTGAAACCGTTTTAAAATACAAACCAGTTCCAGTGCAATAGTGCTCTTCCACCATCAAATTAGATCTTAGATAGAAGAATTCAGCTTTACATCCTCCACAATAGTTTGGCTTACAGTAGACTAAATCAGCCAACGCTGGACAAGATGCAACGTCACATGGATCGACCTTACACAAGTATGGTTCGGATCCGTCCGAACAAGTTTCTGTATGAATAAAATGAAAACTATCTATTTCTGAATTGAAATATTAACAGAACCTTCAACGTTTAGCTTTATGTTGGTACAATTCGAAAACTGTTATTCATTATTATCAAATATTTTCCGTTCTTAAATGGAAATGTAATTCATACCAGCTTTAGATTGGTCCGGAAGACAGGTAACCTCCAGACGATCGATTCCAAAGAATCTGGCTTTGCATTCTCCACATCTCTGAACTTCGCAACGTAAGAAGTCGAACCCTCTACAGGTTGCATGAAGGCAGGGATCGCCACATCCAATAACTTCATTACCACCGGGACAACCTGAGTATGAGCATGAGTGAAAATTGAAGTTGCAGATATAATAAGAGAGGAAGAGTAAAAAAAAAGAAAAGAGAAATCGGATACTAAAAAAAGAACACACCATTACAATCTTCATCAGTCAGTCGCTTTCCGTTGTAATAAAATACCACATCACAACTTCTACAAGCGTCAATTTTACAAGTTGCACCAGGATAGTTGGGGCATGTTTTTCCCAGACATGGTCCGCCGTGACATGATGGTACTGGACCATCAATAATAGGACAGTAATCTAGAGTGAAAAATAAATACATGTATATAATCAATATTAAATCTGACAAATTATAACACAGCATTATTTTGTATGAATAGCAGTGAATATTCGATTTGTACCTAATGGAGCACAATCTGCTTCTGTAAATGTTCTTCTCCCGCGTCTATCACTCCATTCTCTTTTGCATCCTCCGCAGTAATTAGGTTTACAAACAGCGTTGGGTATAGCGGGACATTCCGCTCCATCGCAAGGATTGTTTTTACAATGGAATTTTCTGGTCCCATCTTCGCATGTTTCTATAAACGAGAGAGCGCTGCTCAAATATATATATATATATATATGCAAACGGGGGGCAAATTTTATATAAAAACGTTCCTATGAGTTATAATGAAACTTAGGAAAGCGATGTAATTTTCAATGACTATAATTGACTTTAGATCAAAAAGTCGACAATTTTACTACCTGTCACCATGGATTCAATGCACAATGTAACCCTAATAAGTCGTTTGATCACTCCGAAAACTCAAAATATTTCTAATGTCCTAAAAAATGTGCTTGCATGAAATTCAGAGAATAGTGGAAGTGGTGCATTCCGAAAATGTGTTTAATCCATTTAATAAATTTGATTCCTCAATGATTTCTTGATTTTAAATACCCCAAAACGATGTATTGATTTAACATAAACTTTGAAATTTAATCATAATGATCGACTACGCTTGAGGTCGATCGCAGATAGGTAAATGGCAATTGACTCTATAGCATTTTCTCTCCCTTAATGTGCCGTATCACTAAAATCAGCTTTACTTATTAGGATTTACCTTCCTTGCAACAAGTGTCAATCTCCTTACGATCTGGACCGAAGAAAACTGCTTTGCACATTCTGCAACGCTTAGGTTCACATCGAGCGTCCGGATGATCGGGACATGTCCCTTCATTGCAAGGATTGCAGTCGCGAGGGGCAAATGGTGGGCAACCTGGATGTAAAACAAGTAACAGATATAGTCAATATTCATCTTCATTCATTCTCTATCAATTTTCAATCTATATTTACCATTACAATCTTCATCCGTAAGTCTTTGTCTTCCTCTGTACCAAATAACCTTACATCCCCCACACCCGTCTATATAGCATTCCGCATCAGGCACCAATCGACAAGTTTGGCCCAAACATGATCCACCAGAAGGTGAGAAGCAGCCAGCTTGAGGCATATGAGGTGGACACGATTCTGAATGAAATAATAAGTTAACCGCTTATTGAAAATGCTACAAAACCGTGACATATAATTAATCAAAAATAATATTGACAAAATGCAATGATATATGAATGATTTCAGTTTGTAATTAAGAATTCAAAATTGATGGCTTTATATTTAATGATATAATCGGATTAAAAAATGAGTTGAGATCTAAAAATGTTTCACCGTCGAAGTAACCTGGTTTCAGAATGTATCCCAATGCTTATATATTTACCATTATCAGTGTAATAAGTGGTAGACTGAATTTTTTCATACCATTTTGTTTTATTTCGGGTACTTGAAATATAATTTTGGATCAAACTGTGATGGAAAGGGGATTTTGGGGTAGTAATATAAAAGAAAAAGGTTTAAACATACCTTTTAACATTAATTTAGTTTCCCCGCGCATGAGAGAAAATATGTGGACTTTGTGAACGTAAATGTACTAAGAGTAATATTATGCAGTAAGGAAATATAACTCTTTTTCGACACACACAAGAATATTATAAATATTACTTGACTAAGCGTTTTTGTTTTAGAGTAGTCAATTTTTTGAGTGACTTTTCGCCCGTAAAAGTTTCAGGTTCTTTTTTTAATCTATGTCGGTTTTATTTTCTCATCAACTTCAAACAGTCTTCTCTGATAAAATTGCACGTACCCATTCATTATTTTTTTGTCGTAATTCTTACCAATGGCAGATATTTTGTGATGTTCACACAGATATCCGACAGTGACAATTCTGAACAACGAAACGATCTCACCTTTTTTAATACATAAATGATCCGCTAACTTTCTATTTCCTATATAAAAATCCGCATTACATCCTCCACAGTAGTTAGCTCGGCAATCCGCATCCGACACAGCAGGGCACGTCGCCCCTTGGCAAGGATCCCTTGCACAATTCACTGGAGGCTTTCCGTCAGGACATAAATCGGGAATTGGTCCGGTGCTGAGAACTGTAATTTCAAAGAAGAAGTTTTAATAAAGTATTGTAGGAAAAACATTTGTAGGCTTTAATAGTCACAGGAAACTTACGGCATTCGTGGGCTGTCAATGTCTTTCCTCCATATTCAAAACGTGCTACACATCCCGTACATGTGTCAGATTTGCATGTCGCTCCTGGTTGCGCCGAACATTCTGCGGTATCACATGGGTCTGGTTTACAAGGTGTTGGTCTGCAAGGTCCACTTCCTAAAATAGGGCAAAGAAAGGTTGTATTATAATGAGATAGGAGTAAGAAAATTATAAAATAAAGAAGAAAAACCTTGTGTATTTTGAGCAGGTTTTTACCATAATATATAAACTTCAATTATATATACAACTTGAGGAGAGAGGAAAAGTTACATTTGCCAAACTGTGTTGGGATTAAATTTTGGTTCCATTGGAATTGGGTTAGAGCTGTGGTCAGTGGCGAATATTGCTCTTTTTGGGTACTCCTGAAGTATGCGTACCAAGATGGCGGACAACGGAACGTAGTATGTGTACCAGGTTAGGGTTAGGCCATAATTTTAATCCAATTTTCCTTATTTTAGTTCTACTACGAGTTCGGGGACTAGCCAAGTGACTCCAGTAGTATTTGTACCTAAAATTATGGCCTAACCCTAACCAACTACCCATACTACGTTCCGGTGCCCGGCATCTTCGTACGCACACTTCAGGAGCGCCCTTTCCTGAACCAAAAATTCCCCAACCTCATTACCTTCTATTTATGTGAATCGACTACCCACAATCGACTTGCCCACAGTGAATGAAAGTGCAGAGCGTCCCATGGAAACAATTTAATAAGGCAATAGGGTAACTTGTTTATGCGGTTGAGGAACAATTTGTGATGAATATTCACGGAGGTAAACAATAAAACCAAGATAAGTTACAATTTTACCTAGAGAACAATCTTCAGTAGACAAATCACCACCCGAGTTTGAAAATACTGCTCGACACGTGCAACCTGCAATTATCACTCTACAATTGGCTTCCGGGTGATTAGGACAACTTGCAGTTTCGCATGGATCTGCGGGACACTCTGGAATGCAACCACCTGTAAAGATTAATTGTTTTTCAGATTAGTTTCAGTTTGGACGAAATCATGTTAACCATTCCATCGAATGATTGTTAGACCAACAGAGGTTCCTCTGTGTACTCCCAATTAATAATAATTTTGCATTTGCCTGATTATGTTTAAAATTCGCCAAATACATAAATTTACAGTGTAAGATATAGAATAGCATATTTCGAACATGAAAAATAGTAGAATTGAACATTTTCTATTAATAAACTTTTCACACAGAACTGGTTTTGTTTTCGTGAGATTCGAATGATTTTATTATTGAAAAATACCAATATGTTTAATATATATATCATTTCAATGGAAATATAGATCTGATGAATTTTGTTCCCTTCTAGACCGCGTTTAAAAATACCAATCTTTGATAATGGTAAGGGTTACTTTACGACTATATTACTCGAAAGAAATATTAAAATAAAGGTTCTTACCGGCAATTGCGCGTTCGATAGCAGAGGAACAAACTAAAAACATCAACACCGAAATATGGCTAAGAGCCATTTTAGCATTAAGCTGTATAAAGAAAATCATAAATGCACAAAGAGTGTGCAAATATAAATAAATAATACAGAATTTAGGTATAAATTATAGAACTACTCTTTGTCCGCTAGCATACACTCGAATATCATTGATGATTGATGTATAAATCTCATTTTTGCCTCACTGTATCGATTAAATATAGCGTACAATGTGATTGTATTTGATGCGATTCTTCTACCCGGCAGAAGATTTGTTTGATTAAAATTCTCATCGAAGGAGCGAGAGGTGGTATTGCAAAACCAAATCTGCGGTGAGGGAAAATCTAAGAAAAAAATCGAACGCATAATTGACGTGAGATAAAGTGGTCATCCAATTTCCAGGGTTTAGCTAAGATTCGGCCGCACTGTATCTGAATCTTATCTTTTTGCCGTCATTCACTTGTAATCAAGTACTCAACAGAATATTCGATACCGGAATTATAACTTACTAAAACGTCTAATTTTAAGTTGATTGTATCATTGCTTTATTAGGTATTGAAACGACTGAAATCAAGATCTATTCGGCTCTTGTAAATATGTGAATAGTTCTTCGCAAGGCATTAGTTTGCAAGGTTTTCTACAAAATATACAGTCTTTATACGGCTTCTCATTTTTACTAGCAAAATGTACATAATAAATTTCCACAAGTCATCTAAATCGAAAGACGACTGACTAGTTGTGAATCATTGTAGCCTGTAGGCAAACCATATAGTTGAAAACAACGTATACAAGTTAAATAAATCGCCATGTATCAAGAGCTTCAAGATTACAGTCAATAAATTTACTCTTGGATTAACTGCGTTTTACGAGTAGAATTAAAATTAATAAAGTAGCGTCTGCAACTGTTCGTCCACCAGACTAATCAGGATTACAGCAGACTTCGACGCCATGAGCAACACACAAATTGTTTGCAGCAATTTTAAACCGGTCACTTTTGTGAAGGCAATTGATTACAAAAATCTTTTAGCATGTGCGTTTTTTTGTTAGGACAGTTAGGTTAGTTTTGTTAACAAAAAAAAAATTTGAGATAATAAATTGAAAACCATATACAAACATTCAATTAATCTCGCGTTTAAATTGATTCTGAAAGTGCAAATTCTTTTGCAATATGATGTCATCCTCTAAATCGTAATATGAAACATTTGATATATATATATATCATTTATTTATTTTGCGCAGGAATAGAGAATTCCTAAAACAAGCGATAAATGCGTCGCGAATACACTTTATAACATTACATCAATGTAGCATGAGCAATGCACCACAAAGTGTCGCGATAAAATCACCATGAACAATGTTGCAAATCTCACCAAACGGGTATTTGGCTTGTCTTTCAAAACATTCGACTTGCGTACATCTTTGATTATATCTTAATCCAACGAAAGCCTCTTACATGAAGCGACTTCCAAACAAATCAAATAAGTCGCAAATGCCTCCGGCGCGGGTTCAGGAAGATCCACTGTATTAACAGAACAAATACCTGTGACCAGACATTACATGGAGCAGCGATGGATCGGAAATTTGATTATTTATTTATTATTTTACACAACTATTACTATTGCAATATTTTTAAAACAAAGAAGCGAGTTCTGATTTTGTGCTAAATATTCGTGCAAGAATGAATACATGGACTCTTTACCAGTATATTTTTACAACTTAATAACACACAACTTAAAATAGTAATACATATGAGTGTGATGGACAACAATTGCATGTAGATTTAATGTTCAAAATCTTACGTGAACATATTTACCACTGCACTAACGCAACAGCAAACTTTTCTTGTACGATTTTCTGGGTCGACGTTGAGGACATGGTAGTGATTTTGCCAAAAACCTGAATTTATAAATACATTGCCTGCGCTTACAGAAATATTTACGCCTTTATATTTAAGATCTCAACTCAAGGCCGTAACAAAATCTCCCTCGACTCACAACTCGAAAGATTGTACTCAGCCAAATGAAATCTAATCTAATTATTGAATCATACGAAGTTATATATGTTCCTGACATCGTTAGGTAAGAAAAAATGTTAGAATATAATAATATTTAATGACTCATTTTACTTTTAACAGCAATGCGTGAGCGATATTTGCTTGATCATTATATCTCGTTAGGCATTAAGATTTTATTGAGGTATGTCGTGTTACTGTTCCACGTTTTAATGGAATAAAGTTTTATTTTCGGAATTTTATAATGTATAAACGAAACTTTGATATGACTAATATTATTTTTCGTATCGTGTAAAGTATGTACGATATTCGTCGCGGTACAGAAGCTTGTATGGTTTGTATGGTGCTCAAGGCTATAACTTACTATTAGATAGATCACGGAATATTCAAATATCGTCCCATCCAAATCAAACCAAATCGAAACCATGGTATTAAAAAACGATGAATCAATATCTAAATTTGTCTTTATTTTTTTGTTGTTTTTCTGTTATTCTTAAGCCCTTTCACTTCAAAATCTGAATTCTCAGCTAAAGTTATCCTTTTCTTCGCAACGCTGGTTCACTCGGCTAATTGTGACGAGACACTGATTTTTAAAAATATATTCAAATTTAATGTCATTTCATGATAATTTCATATTACAATTTAGACAAAAAATATCGACTTGTTTTATTCACTGTATTGTGCTAAAAATGATAAAATTTGAGATTGCATTATAGTTATCCATAAGCTCACGGATCATAGACGGTTTTTGTAAATATCACAGAGTTCATGACTCTAATAACTTGTGCTAACACATGCAAACACAACGCTTTTGAAATTGCTCAAAATTTGCTGAATCTATTTGAAAAAGGATATTTCTATAAATGTGCATATTCAGTATTGTATGCCATTTTTATATATGCTTATCAAAGTTCAAATAAAGACGAAATTATGGCAATCATTCAACATGCGTAACTCCCACACTTTCACACTGATTGGTTGAATAGGCATGTTACTGTTTTCATAGTTGAACTATGTATGTCAGAAGAAGTCTGACTTTGGTCAGATGAAACGTTACAGAAATATATTTGTGTTTGTGTGCAGTAAGACTCTTGAATCACTATGGATTTACAACTTGGTATTCATGAACTGTTGACAAACTTCAAGGGATGTTCAAGCCAAAGTTGATTGAGTTAATTTCGACTCCGATCCCAGGCCGTAAATAATTTTTAATACGAATCAATCTTCGCAAAAACCTGATTTTTATTAACAAAAACTTTAATTCACGCAGACTTGCTTATTATATAATAGACCAACAAGAACGAATAGTCAATTCAAATCTTTCCGAGTTTCAGTAGAAAATTATGACTCTTAGCACGATCAGAATTTTAAAAAGTCTGAGAATCCGGAATTTCGTGGAGTTTAGGGAATACGACTTCGGCTAAATTCACTACTTAAAATTATATTTTAAAACTTAATCTCTATCCATGTCATTGTCCATGATCATGGAGCACCCCGCACTGGTTTTAAACTGTAATAGTTTATATAAATGCGCTTTGTCAAAAGCATAGAAAAACTTGTGTGCACTGCATTAACTCCAACGGAAATCCAGAATTCATTTGATAACACCGGAGTTTTATATAGTATGATAAGACCAGGTGGCCTAAAAAACGGAACCCATGAATTACCTAATTACTTTCAAGAAAATGAAAAAGAATGTATTTTCATTTGGTTCGCTCTTAAACTCCAGTTTGTGTATGATTATACACCATAATTTTAAACGCCTAGGACACTCTGTACAAGGTTATCTTGTAGATAGATGAAGGCAAGATCTTTCAAGAATATGTTACCAACCTCCTCCTTGGCATTGGAGACGAACTCGCACGGTAAAATTGTCAATCATTCATTGATTTCCACTGAAGCGTACTTTCTGCTCTCAGGGCATGTCTGTCAATAGCAGCAGTAATGTTTATGAGGAAAGCACCTCCGAAGGAAATCTTACAAACGCCGTTACATTCAGTAAGGCGCACGCCGTGGAAATAATCTCCGAACATGGTATATTCGGTCCGTATCAGTTTGAAGACGAAAATGAAATAGCTGAAACGGTGAATTGGGACGTTACGTAATGGTCCCAAGGAAGTTCTGAATATCACTTGAACGTTGTAGCGGGATTAATCGAGATGATCAATGATACCAGCCTGAACTCGGCGGTATGGCGCATCGTGCTAAGCGTTAGGCACGCACCTCTGGTTCGAATCCCTTGTGGGATAATTATGTGCATGAGGATTTCCGGACTCCTCGTCGCCGTAGGGTGGTGGTTCAGGTAAGCGCTGGTCGGTTGCAGCTTCCCCTGCATAAAGGCAACTCATTCGACATAAGTAACTGGCTGAACTAATTATAATGAAGCCGTTCTACTGGCTTTCCCCTCCCCCGAATAAATATGTAAATTCTTTCCTAATTACACCTTTGACTGGTTGACGTAATACGATTCTCACTCGTTCATTGCTCCGAACAATGTCAGCAAAAAATAGCTACTGATATTTAACAATATCTCAAAGAATCGTTCTACAAACGTACTTCGCTGCCGAAGTTATCCAAGGCATTTAAGCGCGCATTTTCACATATCTCGTTTGGTTCATTTGATTAAGGGATTATTGGGGGGAGGGGGCATGAACCCTCCCAGACCACGTGTATGACGTGTACCCCCCTCCACATTTTTATTTGCAAGGGTATTCGAAGGACAGTATGTCCTCCAATCCTCAAACAATGGGTGAACTCGCAAAAATCTGCGGAATCCCCATGGAGTTTGTGCCAGAAACTGAAAATTTCGTGCAATGACTACAAGTCTCGTCTCCAACACTGAGGATTCTATTTGGAACATTTCATATAGAGTACATAACGTTTGTACAAAACTCAGAATGTCCAAGAAATTGACTGTGAAGTCACAGATAATATTTCCATTCGCTATGGAGATTGTTGAGCCAGAGATAAAAAATCATTATTATTTTAATTAACAAATTATATTTTTGTTATTTCAAGTAAGGTTTGAAAATAAATCTAAATTTTGTGTGCTAAGAAATTTTTACGACTTCCGCTAAGAACAAGAAGCTGTACAAAATGCTTTGGCGGGCCATAGTTTGCCCATCCCTTCACAAGACTATGCCTTATTATTTATATTGCTTCAAATATCAGTCTTGTAGTGTCAAATACTGAAGCATGTTGCTGCTACTGACCAGTCAAAGATTAATAATGCTCAGCTTCTAACACATTTCAGTATAAAAAAAATAAGGATTTCATAACAAATTTAATAAAACAGTGCAATCAATTTTAATGAACAGTTGTCTGGAGTCTGTCCAGAATCAGTGGTTTTTATGAAATATTCGTTTAGCAATTAATAAAGTGATCGATCATATCCCACTGCAAGATTGCGAAGAAACATTATTTGGCCGAGTTCTTATCAATTTATTTTGCCTTCAGACAGTAAATCTGCACCAGATAAGAAAGCAATGTTGCAATGAGAATCCACTATCTATTGTCTTAAGTTTGTCTCTTAATTTAAACTATAGTTGGCAAACATTCCAGACACACACTACACTAAAATTTAAACTTTGGTCTAAGGATTCCTAAAACATACACAACTATATTGGACAATCATAAACATGGATAGCACGATCATCTGCAACAGATACTATTTTTGATCCATTACTATTATACTGACAACTCCAAACTTGGTCTGAGTGTTCGTAAAATGTTTGTACACATTGTCTATTTGTTGAATCCCATATTTTTACACTTTTATCTGAAGAGCTTGAGACAAAATGCACATTGTCAGGACAAAATGACACATTGAGAACATAAGATGAATGCCCGCTTAATGTGTTAATCAGACTCGCCTGCTTAACATCATAAATCTTAATCTGAGCATCATCAGATGCAGTAATGAGTCTTTCTGAATCTGGTGAAAATGCCAGTGATCGTATTGGCATCGCATGACCCTCCAAGGTATGCAAAAGACCTTGTGTTGTGATGTCAAAAACTTTGATAATACCATCCATCGCTCCACACGCTATGTATTTTCCATCTGGACTGTAAGCAATACTAAGAGTAAACTTTCCTCTTGTATCAAGCTCAGTTGCTTTTTGGCCTTCAGGTACAGTAATGAGATGAATTTTACCAGTGTGCCCGCCAGTCGCAAGGTGCTTCGAATCGGGAGAAAATGTAACAGTCCAGGCCTCTACTGTTCCACCATCAATTTGGCGAATTTGTTTTCCACTTTCCAAGTCCCACAAGCGAATATGGGCATCTAAAGAACTTGATGCCGCAATTGTTCCAGCTGAATTTATCGCTACTGATACGACACCAAGTAAATGTCCTTCCATATTCCATTTCAATTCTAATTGTTCATCCACCCATTTCCAACATTTTACTTTGTCATCCAGTGAACCTGTTACAATATGTTCCGTACCATCTTTTTCACTCTTACCCCAGGCACAAGCCCATATCCCTTCTTCATGAGCTTGTTCTTGTTTAAATAGAATACTATACTGAGTACTCATGATCACTTTTCAATCATTTCATTCAAAAATACTATAAATTATGTGATATCGGAATATAAAAGTAAGGTTTTCAAAGTTAGGTATCATTCGATAATTCATCTTTTGACATATACAAAACAAATCTTGGCACCTCTCAAAAAAATACAGCAACTTATCTCAAAACAAGACCTTCATAGTTACGATGCGATTTTCATATTTATCCTAGGAGAGGGAAGTCGATAAGACAGCTCAATCATTTGTCTAAACACAGAATTTCGTCTGGGTATCAGTTCGGAGTATGGAAAGAGTCGGTCAGTTATTTATTTCAGATGCATGGCAGCATGAACTTGTTGGTGGACAGGTGGAGGAAGCCGCAACCGACCAGCGGTCAACATTACATGAACCACCCTGCTGCCCTGTGATGGCAAGGAGTCCACCAATCTACTCCAAATAGTTATCAACCATGGGATACAAACCCAAGCAGATGAATCAGATGTGCAATGGCAAGCATAGAATATTCTTAACGCTTAGCAACGCCCACCACCGATTTATACCAGGCTTTCCCCATACCAATAGATTTGATATTTACGGAAGGACAGAACATTGATTGGATGTAGGGCCTACAGTGAAAAACAACAGAACACAGGAACAAGGTGCCACCAATATAGCCTACCGTATGTCGGTATGTGTTAATTTATTGATTCCTCATACATGCTGCATGCGGCAGTGTGGCTCATCGTGCTAAGCGTTAGGAATACACTCTCCCTCGCACCTCTGATTACCGGTACCATGCACGGGTTCTCAGATTCGAATTCCATGCGGGCAGGGATGGTTATGTGCAAGAGGATTGCTGGAGTCCTTGCCGCCGTAAGGTGGTTCACCTAACTGCTGGTCGGTTACGGGGGCGTACCGGTACCGGTACCGTACTAACTGCACTGCAGAACCGTGAATCAAGGTAACTAACGCCTGAGGTTACGGTACCTACGGTATATCGCACCCGATTCATCCAGCTGAAGTCTCTATAAATATGAATTTATTCAAGTAGGCTACAGACAACAAACCTAATAATAAGGCAATGCCACTTTCTGATTGACAGTCTATTACATTTAATTTATCTACCTAAATTTTGTTATATTTTGTGTAAGTTGTCCACAGATCCCTTAAAAAGCATCCGCCCGATTCTGAATCGTGTTTTTTGTATTCTTGTAGTTGTAGTAATATTTTTTATTGTTTTTGGTGGGCGGGCGCGTACTTTTACGTTTTTTAACTTTATTTTAAGTTATGCTCGCCTTCCAGGTATCTCTGCATTTGTTTGTTTGTCCAGTTTTTGTGTTGTTTTGTTTTCATGTCAGAGTACCGAAATAAATGATTGATGATTGATTGATTGTAGACAGTTTTAATTTAACACGATCCAAGAACCTCGGTAGCTTAGATGGATTATAACGGTAAGACAGATCCGGCCCGTGGCGTTTTTCAATCTGTCCCGCAATAAAACGAAAAATTGGCGAACTTTTCTCTAGGGTATGTTTCCCCGAGCATCGACTTTCTTGATGTTTTTTAATTAATCAATTAAAACGTGTAGAAAAGATTTCTTGCTATCGACTAGTGTCGCGGACGATATATATATTTGTATGTTTATAAACAGTTATGTTGACCCCTGTTTAATGCTGTTTTGTCGGATTTTGACTCCGACCACTCACTTCGCGTGAGAGAAAAGTTGTGTCTTTCGGTCTCTCTTCTCCGGTCGCTGCGCTGGCGGCCGGACGTGTTTCCAGTTCTTTAGTGGTGTAATCTGTTATTGGACACGTGAATGGACCTATAGATCGTTTTGATATTATGTTGTTGTTCTTGTTCATATTCTTCTCCGTCACCATAAAATCGCTTTTCTCTTTGAATACCAGACCAATTGCTTTGAAATTTTTTAGTGGTTGAAGATTGATTTTTTCCAAAAGGCTATTACTTTCATTTATTTCAAATATTCGTGGTAGCGCTGTGGGATTCGTTTTATTGACAAGTAATTGATTTGTCTTTGTGCTGACCAATGACATTAAACAACATGATAGGCAACTCTGACGTCACTCCATAAGACTACATGCGAAAGATTGTATTCCATGATACGCTCTAATGCACATATTTCTCGTCGCCTTTCGCGACGGTTTTCCGCTTGCTTTTGCTACTCGGCGTCTTCTTTACGTGTAGTACCTGCCTTTTTGCGCCTGTAACGAAAGAAAATAATCTCTATGTCTGAGAAGTTTTGCTCATTTGGAAAGCAAGAATGGCAGACAAGCTGTAAAGAGTAATTCTGAACATCATAGACGTTTTTTTTTATCAGAGAATATTACAAACGCGATAGCGTAAAGATTTGTGTGAAACATTTTGCAGATAATGACAAAGTTCAAAGTTAGTAATTTTAATGTTTGCGCTTAAACATTGAAATTTCTTTTAAAGAGGGTGTCATACAAAACAGCAAAACTGTTTTTACTTCTCTTAAAGGTGCTGTGATACAATTCCATAACACAAAGTTTGAAACTATCGAACTTGCTTTAGTAGGTGAATTTATTAGACATATTACATATTCAGTTAATCGTAGGTAACATTGCTGGTACATAATGCCTCGTAGATAGGTTTGTGTCTAAATTTAGAAATTTAGCTCATAGCCCGCTAATTAATATTATCTTCTATGCAGGAGATTGCAGGGCTGATTCAACTTGCAGCCTTACCGATCACCTGACGATGCTCATTTAGTTTGTCTCGAGCAAGTCTTATTGAAAAACTTGTGTGAATGGAAACTACCTATATGTTTTGCCTTCCTCCGACTTTAGAAGACAAATTTATTTTGAAGGATTTGGCATATAATTCTCATTGATTGTTGGCTGTTTATAATTCCTATTAAATGTGAATTCTGATTATAACAAAGAGTTAAACATTTTTTTACGTAATCTACGGGCACTTTTTTCTTGTCAATACTCCAAGCTGAGGTAATAAGCAAGACAATACATTTATGTCATCTGGAAGCAAAATATACACACTAATTAAAAGTTTGACACATTGAGATAATACATCATGACAGAAAATACAAAGATACAGTATGTATGACCATCACAAGGTAATTAAAATTAAAAAAAAATTAATAGAGGCTGTGAAGTATGAAAAGTTCAAGACAAAGAAAAGAACAAAAGTTCATAGCTCATGAACTCTCAATTCTGCCTCCATTGCTTTGTGAAGGCCAATATATTCCGAATGGCTGAATTGGTTTACCTTTATGATAGCAACGGTTTTGTATTTAATATAGCGAGATTTTTTTTCAATTTAATTGAAGTGATATTATTTCCCAAAGCAATGCTTGAATCGTCTAGAATAGATCAGTGGTGTCAAACTCATGGGTTTCGAGAGCCGCATTGCATGTTAGAAATTGTAAAAAGGGCCGCAAACAGTTTTTGATAATGTATACTTGAAAGATATTTTTCAGATAGTTTTAGTTTGTGACATATATTGTGATGCAACTAATCAGTTGGATTAAGTTTTATTATTTTCTTTAATTTCAAATGCAATTACATATTAATATTTGCATTCCACTATTATTGCAAGTTACTGTATTTATTAAAAAAAATCATAAAATTCCATGTACAACCATAAAAATCATTTTTGAACAAGCGTTGGTTAAGGAAAGAATAATACATACACTAAAAAATACTTAACTTAAATATATGAACCTAAAATTAACAAAAATACTACAGTATAAACTCAATGTTTTTTTTTAATTACATTTGTCCTGACGTTTGGCATCTTCTTTGTGTCACCAGCATACTAAGGCCAGGCTGAATTGATTTTATAGTACCAACTCTAACTAACGAGGTCATGGGTTAATCTGTATCTTTGCAAAAGTTTAATTAATTCCAGTAATGCAAAAAAGTTACTTTTATCATTTCATGTATAGATCAGTAAAAAAACAAATGGCAGATTTTCTCGACAAGACGTTTCGGGCTACATTGCATGGCATAGGATTGCTTGAATTATTATTGATATTGATTTTTAGTAACTAAGTCGTTGTATATTTATATTAATATACAAACACATGGAAATTTTCTGTTCGGAGTTGGTCTTCGAATTTGTCATATTGACTGCTGAGCTTATTGTGTTTTTTCATTGTACTGATGGAAATATGACAAATTTAACAATGTGCTTCAGAATTTTGTGAAATGCAGAAATATTGCAACTCCCATTTTCTTCGAAAATGCCACCTTCTTCATGTACTTTAATTTAATCACTCAAGTGTTTTATTCAGTATTCTTTTGCTAGCTTGATGTGTATTCTTAATTGAGTCAAAATGTGAACAAAAAAAAATTAACTTTCTAAAACTACTTTCAGTAAATTGTTTTCTGTGTGAATATTCAATTTCACTTTAAAAGATTTGAAAAATCTTTTACATTTAAAAAAAAAAAATTCAAAAATACTATTACAATTATTGTTAAGCGTTCGAGGGCCGCACTGGAAGTTCTCTGGGGCCGCAAGTTTGACATCCCTGGTCTAGATTGGAGTTGTCCAAAATATATAACATTATTTTATCATGAATCATGATTATACCCTTTCCTGAATTTCTTCTATAGTACTACCAAAATTTAATGAACCAAATATACCCTTTCCTGAATTTCTTCTATAGTACTACCAAAATTTAATGAACCAAATATAACACAGGTGTAGTCAGTGGCCCGTAATCCTCATTTTTCAAAGCTGTTTTAAGTATGTCTGGCATGTTTTGTGCCTTTTTGCAAAGAAGACCGCTTATGCAATCTTACGCTTTAGATATTTTAGTTATTTCCCTCAAGCCCTGCAGGATGTAAGGGCCATACACAACTTTACCGGAGGGTCAAATGTCTTTGCATTCCTCCATAGGTTGTTTTTCTATTGCAAACATTTATGGAGTATTCTAATCATATTTCTTGGAATCAAACTGTCACTGATATGTCGCCAGACTTCTGATATCTCCCCTTCTGCTACAGTTGTCATGTGAATAAATATTAGGAAATTCAGGTTAGACGAATAGTTGAAAGTTTTGTTTTATGTCGGCCTAATTTCTTGATTGATATACTTACTATTATTGCTATTGCCTCTTGTGCTGCAGGAGTCTCACAATGCTTAGACAGGTCTGTCCACAACTTTCACATCTGTAGGAGAGGAGATGTATTAACTTTCGTTAGGAATAAATAAAGCAGTCTATATGATTCAGAATGGAAAAGCTAATAAATCCAATATCTTATGTTTTTTGTAAAAAATATTTTACTGAATTTGGTATATAAACCAACTAATAAAGGGGTTTAGTCAGAAAATTATAAGCATTCGTGGCTCCAAATACTTGAGAGATCAGACTATACAATATAGACCGGTATGAGTGAAATTTTAGGTGAACTTGTTAACCCTTTGATTCAAAAAGCAAATAAAAGTGAATGAGCAATAGTATGTTACAGCAATAAGTATATATCCTCACTGATTAAAAAAATCTAAATGGAGGTGCATGAACTATTTGAAACCATAAGGGGTAAGTAAATAGGCAATTTCGGCAGATGGCCAACTACGTACCGTACTGAATTATAAACTTCGTAGTATTTGACAAAAGCTGGCTTTCCCGCTTCTACTTAACAGTGCGATGCGCGGGTGTGATATACAACAATAGTATTTACCTTACTTTTTTCTGATTTCTTTTTACCTTCAATTTTCCAAATATCATTAAAAACCACAACAACTGTCGAAGCAGGCTCGAACACCATTCGTGCTATGCCTTGAAAGCAACACACATCCGCTCGTTTTCGTCTCGTCAAGTATGTGCATTGGAGCGTGCTATCGAATACGATCTTCGGCCAAAAATGCCGGAGTTGCGCATCATGTTGTTTAATGTCATTGGTGCTGACACACTGTTTTTTTATCACGTGCTCGTCGAACGTCGGTGGTGTGTAACGAACTTCTTGTTCTGTTTTAAGTTATAAATTGCGAGTTGCCGTTTAATAAACGACCAATCCGGAATCCTTGAGTCTTCTGATTCATCTACAACCACAGTAGCAACATCTTCAGACTGCGACACTAGGTGGAAAAAATATCGCGCTATTGACTAGCAGGAATACCCGATGATTTCAGAATCGAATTGAATATTTTTTTCGAATCGAATCTCGAATACTTGGGAGATATACAATTGTATATAACTTTCTTCTTGTATTGGGTCCTCCAGACACATAAATTACCGGGAACGTAAAATACATCACTCAGACAGATTGCTGAGCGTTCACACGCAATAAAAAATAAACGTTTTCGTCGATAACTCACTACAGAAAAGCGTCATATGTCAGAATTGCGTTAAAAAAATATGGTTTCAAAAAATAAAAAATTAAGAAATTTACCTCTATTCGATTCGAAATGCACAGCCCTATTGACTAGGCCTTGAAGAGAGGGCTTATATTAAAATCATTTTCAAAATCGAGGCTAGGTCTTATTTACAGGGTAGGTCTTATTTTCGGGGAAACAAGGTATCTCATTTCATGCCTTTATTTACATTTAGATAATTCGTACATCGATTCTTGCATGATGAAAATGAACTTCTGAATTTTCAAAGTTGGTAAACATGTAGGCCTGAAAAATAAAGGCGAAACAAAAGGCCGACTCGTCTTCCTCATGTCTGGGAAACGCTGCTGTATTGCTCGGCGATGTGGCGCATCGTGCTAAGCGTTAGGAATACGCTCGCCGCCGCACTTCTGGTTGCTCTGCGTTGGTTCGAATCCCTTTCGAAGATAGTTATGTGCAAAGGATTGCTGGACTCGTCACATGGTGGCTCACGTAACCGCTGGTCGATAACGCCTTCCAACACCATCAAGCCAATGCTTCAAAAACAAATAGCTGGCTAATTACTGTAATCCCATACCCGACAATATTCTGATTTGTGTGTGCTTCACTGTCATCGAGAAATGTTCACTGAGGAGAAGATTAATCGGGTTGTGCCGAGCATAGTTGGTGGTAAGCGATGGATGGACTTTTAATCGTGGCGATGTCTTTTACTGATTCAGATTGCGTTGTAGATATTTGATGTTTCAAATCAAAAGGTTTTTCGGGAATATGGATTTTGTATTCACAAAAAGCTAGCTGAGTTATTGAATTAGTTAGCCTATTTATCAAATGTGGTCTTTTTCTGCTTAAAGAAGTGGTGTCTCAAACCCAATATCATTGCTGAGATTACAATATTGGCCCCCACCAAAATTTTGGGCCTAGTACGTTTTTGCTTTAAGTTGCAGGCATAAGCGACCTGGTTTGGATTTTTCAGGGAAATTGCTTTGAATATTTCATCCTCAAGCATAGCTTCATTTTTAGTTTGTCTGAAGTTATACTTTGGTAGAAATCGGTACATCAACTTGTCATTAAATTTACGCATCCCTTCGACTTAGCCATTTCGGGCTAAAATGCAAATTCCGCCTCCTTTGTGCCGCTTTTTGTTTAGTTTTTCCAGTGCTATAATTACATTCTTATTTAAATTAGGATAAACTTGTCGTTTAGGTGGTGTCTTATTACCTATTATCGTATCACAGAACATATTAGTATGAAATCGAAAGACAAACCAAACAGAGAAACTTAGTTCATTCACCGACTTGGGATGCATGAATCTATTTGCCACCTACCCCTGACCCACATTTGTTTCCTCAGAATGATTTATTCTGCCCTACGTACCACTGCGGTAGTTAGTTGGTTTGCTGCAATTTTTAATTGACGCCGCTAGAAGACGCTTTAAGAGTCCATTGCAAGGTGCAATCTCGGTGTTCATATCAGGCTGGTGAATCATGATTATATTTCAGGTAACTATACGACAAGGGAATAGTGTAAACTGTAGCTGTACAAATTGGTCGTATTTTGATCTTTATGGAAATTCGAAGTTTTAGAATAATTTTGAAGAGAAAGGTAAACGAGAGTGTCATGGGACAACTTATACGCATTTTCTCAATATATTGACAGAACAAACTGAGGTCTCGGGGCATTATGAAATATGTAATACAATGGTTAAATTAGGTTTTGTATTATTCTCAGCGCTTCAACCAGAAGTAAATCATACATGGTCTGGAATGTCATCAACATGTTAAAAAAGACAAAAAAAAAACTTCCCTGACCTATGTCACGCAATTCTGAGAAACAGGTAACACCATTTTTTATGGATTTCATTGTTAAACATAATGCAGAGAGATACTATGTTCAATCTTTCAAATTCTTCATCGCAGTCCTCACTGTTAATTAATTATAAAATCACCGATGATTTATTGATTCTTTAACATGCGTAACTGCTATTAATGTGTTGCTATGACACCCATAGTCCGAGGAAGTCTGATATTGTAAAGTTGCACAATTTAATCCAAACAGATGTATTAAAGTATACACTTAAACTTCAATACAAGTTATACGTTTGAAATCCAAATTAGTAATGCAAAACATAAAAACACTACGTTCTCAACTCTCGAACGGAGGCCGGGACACGTCACAGATTGGTCAATACAAAGAAGTTTTGCTAAGACTTCAAATCATAATCAGGAGAAATTGAGCACTGACCTGCTCATTGAATTCACATACTATTAATACAAATAGTTGATTGACATGATAAATCTTAGTTACAATCCACATTCGCTACAACGTAATACAGCCCTTTGCTGTTTTCAACTTTTTATATTGTGGAAATTGAACTCTTGGCTTTGTGACCCACCTCAATGTAAACCCCGCATGCTCTATACTTATACCGTGAGTAAATAACCGCCCATGCCGGAGAAAAAAGCATTTCGAACCTAATCATCATGACGCGATATCAATGGTGATCAACGCAAAAAATCATTTCATTAATAACTCTTTCAAATCGAGTTTATTAAGTACAATTTTCTTTTTCGAAAGAAAGAAAAAGAGATTTTGCTAAACGCTACAAAATTTCGCTCTTTTCGCTTTTGACGAGAGTGGAAAAATAGGGATTTATATGTTTTTTCTTTGTTGATAGTCATGATTCGGATTTCAGTCAAATACTGGCATTACGGTTTTAGGTGCATTCCTGCATTCCATTATCAGATATTGGGAACAATTCAATTCGATCGTGCAACTTTACAATGTACAAACATTTGGCATCACAATCATCGTTTGCTTACTGCTCATTAATCTTTGAAGGAGATCAGGTTGGATATTATTCCGCTAAGTACATTCTAATAATACAGATAAAGGGGCGCGCAGAATAGGGACCCACTTTTCCTATATACTCTATTAGCCTAATATTTACTCAAGCGCATTTATAGCCACTTTTGATGGTGGAATTCGTAAACTAAATTTAAAAACAGGCCATCTATGTCGTTTTTAACATGACGAGGGCAGCTGCCTAATTCATCTTTATTTAAACAGTTAACAGTAAAATTGAATATAACCGAGTACTATAATTGCATGAAGGCATCGGGGTACTTGTTTGAGGCACTAAAGGCGCCTCACTTAATTTTCCGTTGAGAGAATTGGGTAGTTTAACATCGCAAACATTTACATAGCGACTGCTGTGATATCAAATTAATAATCAACAAGTAGTTAGCACCAGTCATCAGCCATGGAAGCCTCGTTTTATCCTTGCAACCAACCACCTCTCGATCAAAACTATACCAAGGGTAGGTTTAGCGGACAGACAGTTGTAGTTGCAGGTGGGGCATCTGGCATAGGCTTTGCTGCCGCACATCGATTAGCTAATGATGGTGCATCCGTCGCTATTGTTGATTGCAATAAAACCTTGGGTGAATCAGCAGTTTCCCATTTGAAAAAAGAAGGATTCGTCGCAAATTTTTACCACGCCGACGTGGTTCAGAAATCTTCTTGTGTTGATGCAGCGAAGAAAATTGCCGATGACAACGGAGGCACTGTACATCACCTCGTAAATACAGTAGCCTATTTTTGCAATAAAGGTTAGTGTGACATATTTCAGTTTCCTAACTTGAAAAGCGTTAATTGAGTTTTTCATAGCATGGAATTAGAGTGAAGCAGTCTATATAAACCATAAACTATCTTGTTTAGCTTTGGAAGCTGAATACGATGACTGGAGAAAAAGTTTTGACGTTAACGTGGCTGGCTTTGCCAATATGGTACAAGCGTGTTTCCCTTTTCTGTCTAAAGGTATGAAATGCGTTTTTACTTATTAAAAAAATTGTAAAATGAATTGCAATGCATTCTGATTTGTATAGAATTAAAATTTGGGGTATAAAATTGCCTCATCATAATATTTAAACTCAACTCATGCAGGCTCCTCCATAGTCAACCTGAGCAGTATTTCTGCCGTTCGAGCTCAGCCAAATAGATGGACCTACTCAACCACAAAAGGGGCTATTGAGGCACTAACAAAATGCATGGCTTTGGACTTATCAAAGAAGGGTATTCGAGTCAATGCAGTTGCACCAGCTTGGATTTGGACACCAGAGGTAATCCAGTTTTCGACCTATCATTTCGAGCTTTCACGAACTATTGAAAATAGATTTAGTCGGATATATTTTTAGCAAGCAAAAGCATCACCGGATGGCACTAGAATGGGTCAACGAGATATGGTTTCAAATTTCCATTTACTTCGTCGTGAAGGAGAAACGTCTGAAGTAGCCGCAGTCATTGCGTTTTTATGCAGCAAGTAAGAAAAGGTTTTTATTTTGATAATGTCTGTCACTGCGATGTTATTGATTATATCATAGCATACTGGTGTAGCGAGTACATAAGGATAGTTACTGTATGTTTCAATATTCGTCTCCACGTATTGTTGATAACGCATGTTATTTGCCTGAAACAAGGTCGTTGTCCCGATTCATTTCCTTTATCATATATTTCTCTCGCTCAGTGTTGCTCGTGTTTATCGTTCTTTGTCAGTTAGAAATTTGGTTTCATCACTTATATATACTTGTATAATGGTTTTAAGCGCAATTCGTTATCTGTTAATTGGATCAATTCGATTGTGCATCGTTACAACATACGAACATTTGGCATTCAATACATTGTGTGCTTTATTGACCTCTGAAGGAGTCAAGATCGAAGTTACACTCACTGTTAACGTGTGTTCTATAACACGGGAGTGTGGACACGCAGATAGGGCCCCAGTCCCCTGCACTGGCAATCATCCCAACTATCTATTTGCAATTTTTACCAAGGCCAATAGTGACTGGCCAATGATCACAAAATATCTTGTGATATATATATCTGCTTTCATGAGTGTACGTTGGCCTACATTTAATCTAACAGAAGAGATCACCTTATGTGACACAATATTTGAATTATATATTTCTGTGCAAACAGGGATGCAAGCTTTATGACAGGATCGACTGTGTATGTCGATGGAGGATATAGCGCAATGGGACCAGAACAACACGGGGAGAGCTCGAAATTTGGTGCTAGAGATACTCAATAATGATTACTATTTATTATTTTGTTTTTTGAATAGCACAAAACAATGTATCATTAATTGTGGATCAATTAATTTTATTGAATATATGCTATGTGTCAGACTTCCAATAAAACAGTCAAAATTTAAAGTTCGATACTGAAATAATTAAAAAGACGTGGATATTTTGATGATTTCTGACGCCTCCAAAAGCGAAGCTCGTTGAATACTTTGTTCTTTAACATTATTAAGCGTGCGACCAGGGTAAGAAGTATTTATGGACAAACGTAATACCTCAGTTCTGCTTTGTACAGACCGTTATAGTTAGTAAATATATTCTCCCCTTATTAGGATTCATTGGGATGAAAACATTTGATATACACGTAGAGAAATTGCGCGTGATTATGTGTTATCAAAACCGAAGTCTAACGAATCCCCTCTTGGTAATATATACCCGCGGTATATTATACTAGAAGTCGGGTAATCTCGTTTACCACACCTCATAATGTGCTTACAAGCGGGACCACCTTATTTTACTGTTAGCATTTAACATTATACACAAATGCCAATTGTATGCAAGTTTTTGCAATTGTTTTCGCAAAAAAATAAATGCGTTTAAATTTATTGGAATAGATGTCATATTTTAGGAATATGCATGTATTTTCAAACAATCGTCATTATACTTATAAAGGAAAAAAATATATTATGATTTTCCAATTTATTACTTTTAAGACTATCAAGTTGTACGAAAACAACGTGGCAGCATGATCCACGATACAACCTTTTATTCTAATTAGTACAAAAGTAATTTGATTAGGAATATAAATCACCAAGAACTAAATCCTAACAGATATAAAATGGTGACATCATATTAAACGCCAGTCTTCCTTAATCATGTCTGACGCTCTTTGACCAATCATATAACAAGGAGCCTGAGTATTTGACGACGTGATGTGTGGCATCACTGAAGCATCTGCAATTCTCAGCCCATGAACTCCACGTACTCTGCAAATGGCATAAGGAAATTTTAAATTATTTTATTAGTATAAAGAGTTTCACTATTTAATGAGCTTTGGCAATTTCATTATGCGCCGAACAATATTCAGTTCAACCAAGGAAGACGCGCTCCATGAATTTTTCATGATTTTACGATTCTTTTCTCCTTTGTCAAATAAAAGTAGTGAATTTGATTTAGATTAGTGAGGTATTCAACCGAGGACTGGAATCTAAAACTAGCTTGACAAACTGGCTAAATACCACAATATGTTTTTGTTAATGATTTGTTAAAATATATTCGTTTTAGTTCTCATCAATCGAACATAGTGTTGTATAGAAACAGCATATTTATGCAGTACCTGAGTCGTTCGTCAACAACAGCCATTTCATTGTTCCTATCTCCCATTTTTGCAGTGCAACATGCATGTATTCCGTGACTGAAAGATTTCATGTAGCACTCGTAAAACTCATCGGACCTTTAGAAAATGGACGATTATCAAATTAAACGAAAGCTCGATGAATAAACACATCTAAACAGAATTCGCTCATCCAGTGAGTATCGCATCTTACTCTGTCTAGCACTGAAAACTACAACATTTTGGGGGGAAATAACCACACAGTAAAATGATCTGTAGGTATGTTTTGTGTCCAAAGATATCAAATGAACAAATACAAATCCGTTTGAGACTATAAGGAATATATATATATGAATTATCACAAAAATACACAGGTAAAACGTGCCATCCATACATAGCCCATTTCCGACAAACCATAGTGCTGCAGCATACTTTACAAGTGTACAAAGAAGATATCTTTAACAAACGTTTTATATTCAGTAGTACGGAAGTATCAATCAGAAAAGAGTGATGATGAGATGCTGGCAGAATTTACCCCAAACCAGGTTTTGAATATAAGCGTGTGTTAGATGCTTATTGGACTTCGTATAATTGCCTATAAGTTGACCTCATGTGCTGGATTCCCTCTATGGCACAGTAAAATGACCCTGCGACGTTATTGGCAATAATAATCATCGTGATTTAGTGATTTCACCTGGGAGGATATTTGTTCATTTGTCCATTGCAAACATCAGGCACGACCATTCTAAAACCAGTTTCTTTCATTGTCTTTGTCATTTCGAACTTTTCTAGTTGTCGAAAGCCTGAGTAATAAATTGAGGAGTCAACTATAAAATAAGTACCGATATATAAAAGTTACAAATACAAATAGGAGTGAGCCTTTACACCAAGGCTGCCCAACCCGCGGGCCGCATGCGGCCCACTCCATAAAGTTGTAAGCAGACTTTTGATGTTTTTACTATGTTCCATATCAATATATAGGTTATGTATGTTTCGTTCGTGATTTTGATGTGATTATTGCTGTCATCTATCTGCATTCAAATGCTGGTTCTTATTATTACGTATGTGTCAAGTCTTGCACCCTGGTGGACAACGACGTCAGTTTTTTTTATTTCTCGCAGAACTGAGCGTTCTGTTCGGCGAACTCGGAAGATATTGTGCGATCATTGAGGACGAACGCTGAGCGCAATTATAGGAATGAATTTGGAGCCTAAATTTGCAAATTAATTTCATTCCGATTGTTTTCTTATGTGTCTGTTTTGATCGTCTTTATCGCCAACGTAAAATAAAAAGTCAACAATATATTTGATACTGGTCCCGGGACTCCTCGTCCTTTTATGTTTTTTTCATCAAATGTTTGGGTTAAATTAGATTTCAGAAATATCGTCACTGCGTATCCTTCAATAATTCTGATGAAATTGACATTGCTGCATATTGTTCACGAATCAGCATATATAGGGTATTTGTCCAGAAATCTTCGTAATATTACTTTATCAAATATTTGTATTGGTGTCAAATTTACGAAACTACCAACTTAAACCTGATATTCCCGCGACATTTGCCCACATTATGCTCATTTAAACACTGAGACAATATCATAACTACTGAAAATGAATGAATAAAAACACTATATAATGCAAATATAACACTCAATTTCGACGAGATTTGTGTGCTCTCGTGTGGTCGTCAAAGAACCACAAGTGTCATGTCCACGCCCTGTGTTACCAGATATTCGAATAGTAAACTGCTATTTTAATATTCGACTTGATATTCGAATAATTTGCCACCCCTTCTCAGTAATCAGGAAAAAATTATTAAATTGTTTGATTTGATGTTAATAAAATTGTCTTTTATGTATTATGTAAATTACCTACGCCAAAATCAGGGCTTAGCTGGTATTGATGAATGGCACAAACGTTTGCGGCTCGCAACGAATTTCGTAACTTGAAAGTGGCGCGCGAGCCGAAAAAGGTTGGGCAGGCCTGCTTTACACCATGTATACAATTCCAATTATATCAAAATTTTTCTTCTATATAAACAGGGTGAGAAAATTTCTGCAACTGCATCCACACAAAAAATCTCAGTATTCAAACCATTACAACTGTATTTTACTAAGTATAGAGTATAGCACATTTGGTGATGCATATTGTACTAAAATCGCCAAATATTTTTTTACTCAAAAGCGCCTGATCACAGTTGACTTCAATTCATATTTTTCGGGCATTGAAATGAAGTCTTTTTTTAAATTCTCATATACTCCAACACGGACTTTAAATCAACGCACCTTCAATATGCATCTTTACATCATCGGGATTTGATAAAAAATTAGGATCAATAATGGGTTGGTCGAATGGGTTTGTTGAATTCAAACGTACCGTTCCTCTTGACTTTGGATGTTGAAGATACAATATAACGGAAGAGTGAAACGCAGGCTAGGGTTGTAGATGAATATAAACATAATACAATACTATTATAGGACCATAATATTATATATAATACTAATCATATAATATAAATTATCAAGCTGATTTATACATTGTAACTACACTTACGAAACCATTTTTACGGCAGGAATTTTTGTATTCACCCCATAAAAGAAGATTGCTTTAATTACATGGAGAAACACGTCTTCTCGCCTTATTGACAATTCTCGTACGGTACTAAATTAGCCAACCGATTGATCGCGTTGACGCTCGGTTTTGATTCGTGAAGGAACAACTTTTCAAACGATGCGATGACAACGGATTATTCCAGCCTTTTCTAAACTTTAATCATATTTTACGTCTACGGCCTTAACGTGAACAAGTTTTGAGTGACATAATTAAAATTTAAACTTATAAACTTCACTCAACAAAGCGTTATACATATAAAGTCAATCACCTTCTCTTGAGTGGAGAAAGGAATTGTAAAGGGAGCTGGAGCAAACAATGCTTCGATCGTTGGAAATGGCCGTTTCCTGTAAAAAGAAATAGTGCCATTGTTACTCTTATTGCAATCCTGATAATTTTTTGACGTATTCTCAATTTAAAATATTTTACAAATCTATATGGATGTCAATTTAACGGTGTTTTTATTTAACTCAAGCTTCCTTGGAACCGCTTAACTAGCTTTCACGTGTCCACTCCTAACTAGAGTAGAGGTTAGATCTGGCCCAAAGATTCCAGCCCGACCCGGGCCCGTGGGTATTAAACCCGACCCGAGCCTGACTAAGTAACTGGATTCGAGGGCCCGACCCGAGCCGGGTATGGTAAAGTATCGGAAGAATATTTTTGGGGGTCAAAAGTCAGGGGAAGGTCCATTACAGCTTTTCTCTGCTTTATTCAAATTATTTCTTTTATAACAAGTATTCCTTTGTTTAGTATCCACACATAGTTTAGGTATATATATATTTTTTATAAACATATATTTATTTCAAAAAAAGTCAGTGATAGAGAAGCCCGAGTAATGATTGACATTTCAGGCCCGACCCAACCATTTCAGGCCTATCCGACCCGGCCCGAAAGTAATGATTAACATTTCAGGGTCGACACGACCCGAAATGTCGGGTCGGGTCGAGCTCGGGCTTTAGATTTTAGCTCTAAACTAGAGTGCATGGTTTCAACCGCTAAACTATCGTGCCAACAAGCGTTATGGAGATTTTAAGTTTAGAATCAATTCGTTACATAGATTCGAAAAAGATTTTTTATTTTGTAAATTTACGCTGTTTATTTTATTATTCTGTAACAAATAACTCTTTGTTGAGTATATCATCCCCTCAGGGGAATTTCATAATCGATGGCGGTTACTGTGTTTTGTAGTATTTTGATTTTATATA